GGGGCGACATTTTGGTGTGCGACGAAATTAGTGTTGAGTAGTTTATATGCAAAACAAATTTCTTTTTGGCTCTAGAAATCATCAAAATCAATTCCTGCTTCGAATGCATTTTTCAAGTTACTATCGGTTTGCATTTCAATCACTTCTTCTTCAATTCTATCAGGCGCTCAAAAACATTGAAAATTTCCGATTACCTTTGTTATCGCAGTCAGGAAAATAGCGATCGAATTCACTCTTCAAATTTGCCTCTCTTGATCTCAGCACACTCTCCTTCAATTATTTAATTCAGCTTATCACACGTAGAAAAAAATCTATTTCGACTGTCATGATCCATAGTTCGATTTCAGCGATAAATACAGCAATTTTATCTTCACATGCAAATATTCTGCACATGTCATGCAACTTCAAAATTCCTGACCCTTGCAGTTGCAGATTCAATTTATAGAGTTGTTCGATCTACCAATTAAGAGAGTCGTATTTCAAATTGATAATCCATCCGCTTGTCACTGATTCAATATTTTTCCGATGGCTTCGCGGACCCCTTTGGGTGCTTCCTGGGAACACCAGTGGTCCGCGGACCACCGGTTAAGAACCACTGATCTAGATAACGACTCCAAACAAACGGAGTCGCACGATGTGATGACTATGACAAAGAGTTATCAACAAAAACGAAATTTTTTGCACGACCTATATACAGGGTGTTTAGTAATATGTGGGACGCACTTTGGGAGGTGATAGGGCGTCTCAAGAAAATTTAAAAGTTCCCATAACTTCAACGAAGCCTTCTACGACTTTCGTTCATGGAAACTCTTCTATTTTCTTGGGACGTCCTATCACCTCTCAAAGTGTGTTCCACATATTACGAAATACCCTGTATAATAAGCAATTTTTCTGCCCTGAAAACGGAATTATAACCTAGTATCAACTATATCAGGAACACTACTCTTTGGGGCAAAGAGAAGCACAATAAAGGATCCTCAAAGTCGCAGTGTAGTCACCTCTTAACAAAGCTTGTAGCTTCAATCTACAGCCAGGCTGCTTGATCAAATCTTTTATTCATTGACTACCGACTTCTCTCAAAACATCAGGCTTTGCCTAACATCTCCGCAACTTCAAACTTCCGTTGAATTTCTTTCTAAATTGGGAGGTGGAGAGTAAAATGGTTGGAGTTCAACAAGATCAAGATTCATCGACAAAAACAATATGTCATAGCGTAGAATCAACTTTTATGACCTAGTATTAATTATATCAGAACTAGAACGCTTCAGAGCAAAGGAAGAGAGTATACTAATAGGTCTTCAAGGTCGATGGGTAGTAAATCCTTAAAAAAGCTTCCAACTCAATCTACAACCAAACTGTATGAATCAAATCATCTTTTATTTTATTGTAGTGTATAGGTGAAGAGTGAAATGGTTGGAGTTCAACATGATGAAGGTCCATCGACAAAAACAATATTTCATAGCGTATAATCAACTTTAATGACCTAGTATTGACTATATCAGAACTAGAACGCTTCAGAGCAATGGAAGAGCGTATACTAATAGGTCTTCAAGGTCGCAGTGTAGTCAATCCTGAACCAAGCTTCCAACTTCAATCTACAACCAAACTGTATGGATCAAATCATCTTTTATTTTATTGTGGTGTGTAGGTGGAAAGTAAAAGGGTTGGAGTTCAACATAATGAAGGTTAATCAACAAAAAGAATATTCTCAGGACCACAACTCACAACGCAAAGGAATAGAGCATAATGATAGTTCCTCTAGGTCGCAGTGTAGTCACCCCTTAACAAAGCTTCTAGCTTCAATCTACACAGTCAGGCTGCATGAATCCAACTTCTCTCAAATCGTTAGGATCCACCTCTGCAACGTCAAACTCCCGTCGAATCTTCTTTCTAAGTGTAGAGGTGGAGAGTTAAAGGGTGAAAACACCGTTGCTCCCCTGAATGTCCTTTCTCGAACCCGATTGGAAATAAATCAGCAGCGAAAGGGGGTTGAAGTTCAACAACAATCCGACTTTAGCACCCCATATTTACAGTGCCCTTTCCACCCCCCATACACCATCACATCGAATCCAGGATTACATTCCTGCGGCTCTCTGTCGACTTTCGAATGACATTTCAGGATTTATTTCATCCCATTCGCCGTCTGGAATCGATCCCCATCCAGTTGTTGGACTTTTCGACTAACACTCGTCGCACAATATTGTAGACATCCCCAGGTTCAATTAGCTCTACCCACAATGATACTCTGACAATTAAAGACCACCTGTAGGGATAATATCTGGACATTGCCCTCTACACTACACAGAAGAAACAGGAGGACACCCAACAATGGATCTGATGGTAATGGTATAGATGGATAGTGACAGATGCCCAACAGTCTGATTACATCTATTGTACCCCATTTTCTGAAGTCTCGAGGGTTTCTTGTTCATAGCTATCCTCAAAGCTCCATTTCTTTCGGGAATTTGAGATTTGGAGATCTCTTAGTGGTATTGCTACCGCCTCCACAATCGCCTGGTGGTGATACTAGATTGTCGTTAGGAATGCTTGGAATGAATAGATCCATTGTATTGTATTGTAAGCATAAGGGGTGAAGTACACTGCGACCTAAAAAATCTATTGTGTCCCTTTCTTTTGCTATATACGATGAGGTTGTTCTCCGTCGCTATAACAATTCAGCTAGTCTTATATCCCTCAGATATGTCAGGATATGGGGTGGAATAATTCCGCAGAAGGGTTCTGGATTTCGAAGGGTGTTTGAGTTCCATTCCTAGCGAGTTTGTCCGCTACTTCATTTCTTTCTACTCCGGAATGTACCGGAACCCAAAGAAGGGTGGATGTATTTCTGTTGGCTAGCTCGTTCAGTTTCTCTGACATTCTCAAGCTCAGCGCTTTTATGGCTGCTTGACTATCGGACATGAATAAATCTAACAAATCTTCAGAAGCTACTGATCTTTACTATAGAGACAGGAAGCCAACAAAAACAAATAACCAAAGAGAATGAAGAGAAGCTCGAGAGGATAGAGTCACTCCAGGCAAGACATAGAACAAGAGCTAGATGCTCCAACTGTCAACAATCTGGAAGTTATAATTCGTCCAGCCATATCTCTGGCTGACGAATCATAATTCAACATAAAGATAAGCTGTGTGAGGAACAGAACAACGAATCCGTCAACGCTAGGTTCAAGAAAGAAGCGATAAAATGGTCGACAAACGACTCAAAAATCACTGCTGAGACTGGTATAGAAGTTTAGGGGGTCTCCAAACTTTGGAAAATGTGTCCAGTTAAGAAGTCTTCAAAGCGCTGAGCACAAACGAAGTTAGCTTCGAAGCTATGTGTGTTATTTGCAGTAGTAACATATTAAAAGATAGATGCCAAAAGGCACACCGACATAAAAAAGGGGAGCAAGAAGCCGATGGGCTTAGAGAAACTTGGAGAGAGTAAAACTATTGAAAAAAGAGTAACAGAGATCAATCCAACGCTGCTCGAACTTTGAAAGCAAAGAAAATCATAGGAAAGAAAAGCAGTGCAAAGGGAAATGATCGATGAAGGTACTTTATGAATTATCACCGATAATTCTGTGAGAAGCAACCATTGTTATTCACTAGCGGCTTAATCAACCCCAATAACGAGCTGCCCAACGTGCAAATCGCAATTTGGCATGTTTGAATTATAAATTAGCCTTCGATTAGCATATGAATAATACATTCAATTTCCTGTGGGCACTCGATCGGATTTATTGCCGCTAGTACGACGATGCGGTAAATAGTAACCAGGGTGTTTTGTTGACATACAGAAAGCCAACTTTATGCACCCTACACTGAGAAAAATTCCTATCAGCCAGTCAGAAATCGAATTACCCCAGCAAGAACCTCTAATAGCATAAGGGACAAGCGAGTGATCACCTGTGATTATAACGTCGACTTTGCTGATTATAACCCACCTGAGATTATTAGATTCAGAACCTTGCACTAGCGAGTGCATCTGTATATTGCTATTAGACGATGTTTTTGTAGTAGATATCTGACTTTGCTACCGCTAGTGAGTGCATCTAATAATGGGAGTAGGGTAATGTTATAGGTAGGTAGGTAGGTAGGGAACTTTGCTACTCTTGATGGGTGATCATATAGATAGTTGCATGACCTTCCTACTGTAGTTATTCAGTTATTTTCCATGATTGTTTTCATCAAGGAAGGTGAAATTTTGACCATGAAATCCATTTCACTTTCCATAATTTCCACCCTGATGTTTGGTATGAATGGTAATTTATTGATTCCTTAAGAAAATTTCGGAAAAATGATCTTTGAAATTCAATAGATCAATTGATTCATGCACCTTCAGGAAAAAAAGAAAGGTTTTTGACTAATTGATGAAGAGAAGCATTTTTCTGAAACTTTCTGAAACCATTGTATTTCGAAAACCAGACAAGTTATTACAGATGCGTACAGGAAAACACATTGTTACCAGTAATATCATTCAAATAATTTCATAACCTGGACATTTTTGCTCACAATAAGTTTCTAGACCACATTCTATAGAGAAGCTCTGTAACTTGTTTTCAGTTTGTCTATATCTTCAAAAGCCACATCGGATCAACCATCTTGAATTTCCCAATTTTGACGAAGGAATCATAATCCCCGATTACGAAAACTCCAATAGGTACCAATTTTGAATAGAATCAAATTATAATTACAACACTAGTCCGCCATATTGGATCCGCCATCTTAAATTTCCTAATGTCTTATAGATACCAATGTTGAATTGAATCGGATTATAATAATTACAAAACTTTTCCGCCATGCACATTGGATCCGCCATCTTGTGAACAGTTTTCGTAGAGAGTCAACTACTATGAACTGGGTCCTAAGGGGATCATCCCATTCGTCCCCACAAAATTGTATAGATCTCCTCAATATCTTCATTTTAGGACACACACCTAACATACTCGACAATATAGATACTTTTTTTTATTGTTTTTAATCTCGATTATTTTTTTCAGAGGAAGATTACGATGCGTTTTGCCTAGCATACATGTTCACATATCGAGATTTTGAGATGGGAACTTTGGGACTAGCTTGGACAGGCGATTTGAAGAATGCCGGGGGAGTGTGCGAAAAAAACGGGGTAAGTAAGGGATGGTAAGGGTTGGTTCCAAATTTGTAGCAGCGTAATAACCATTTCACACTTGTTTTGACATTGAAATGGTAGACAATGATAGAAGATTGATAAAATGGTTCCTAGATTTCAACTTACGACGATTTTCTCCACCAGTAGGGTTATAAAATCTAATCAGACTGAGTATACCACTCCATAATTCTTCCACATTCAGATTATTGTTCTGCCATTTTGTTTTTGCTCAATCAGAATGAAATAAACAGACTACAAAGGATGCAGAATCGTGATATGCGAATAATCTTACTATGTTCGAGGAAAACACCGATAGCAAATATGTTGCAAATCCTACAATGGCTACCAGTGAAGAAACTATTCGAGTACCAAGCATTAATTTTCATTTTCAAAATCGAAATTGGATATTCACCTGTATATCTACAGAATGAATGAACGTATGTGAAACAATACAAGAAACAGTAACAATATAAAAGTTCAGAAATTAAAAAAAAAACAATCGCCTACTTTCAAGTGTATCACAGTGTATTTTTCTTTCAGCATTATCGAGGTAGTATGAAATCGTTGAACACAGGGATTGTGACGCTGTTGAATTACGGAAAACACGTACCACCAGCAGTGTCGCATGTTACTTTGGCACACGAAATCGGACACAATTTCGGTTCACCGGTAAGTGAATATAAACTGCTCAACAGCGAAAATGTCAAATCCATCAATTGCTCTACCTCACACTCTCTTTCAATCCGGAGAAGTTCTATATCCAGAAAATAGAATAATTGAGGAATTATCTTTCGAAAATCGAGAACAACGTTTAATATTTTTTATTTTCCACTTGTCCATTACTGCTTTATAATACCATAATCCCCGCTGATTGTTTTTTCTGTAGTTCAATGAATTAAATACCCACAATAATTTTATTCATAACTGTACATAAAATAGGAACTAATTATTTTCTCTCAAATATAAATTACAATTTTCAAATGCCTCTGAAGAATGTGTACCAAGTTTAAAGTTCTGTGACTTGACCGATGATGAACTGCTCAATGTGTATCCGATTTAGTTCAGAACGTTAACATTTTCTTCATCGGAATAGGAATGGGTTATCGTTGTAGCAATTTTGTTCTTGGAAGAGATACTTTCTTCAATATAGCTCTCTGCTACCGTACAACTCTTCCATTGTCCATGTAATATTAGTGTTTCAAAGTTAGCACTATCTTGAACAAGAAGCGTTGACGACGTTTGGCGTAGACAATGTCCACTGTAACCTTTCGGGTTTTACAAATTAAGGTATTTCGCTATGATAAAAGGAACACTTCCTATAGCACCTTACCTACAGGTGAAACAATGCCTTTATTATTTTACGTTGTTTACATCTTTTTGGTCGTAGTGCAATGTACTCTTTGACTAAGTTCAAGGCTCCTATTTCGCTTTCTTCAACAATGGTGAAACTTTTTGAGGTGCAGGTCTTGGTTTCTGGTACCTTGATCAGTAAAACGGCTCCTCTGTCTTCAATGTCATCAATTGTCATCTTGACCATTTCATCACGTCTTAAGCCTCAAAATACACCCATTACAAGAACAACTTTATGTAGCAGGAAAGTATAATCTGGAGTACTCTCTTATGAAGAGTAATACGTGTCCACCTATCAATACCTTTGATTTTTTAGGAATGTATCCTTTTGATTTAACTCTCAGGAAGGCCATCAGTTGCTGAACGCTAATATATTGATGTTTCCTTCAACAATCAATGTTGATTTCAGCAAAGAATATTTGGTCCATAGAGTATTTACACTATATTTTTCAGACTGAAATATTTATATTTTTCATGAGATAAATTCACCAGTTTCTGGAAGTGTGCCATCAAGACAGTTTCATGTACGGTATTCGCTATGTTTTCATCTTTCCATTTCAAAAAATTGTCATACTCCTTCTCGTGGTATCTCCATAATTATCATGAACAGAATTGTTTTCAGTGAGTTTTTAGTTTCCTTCACTAACAAGATTGTCAACCCGTACAAAAATGCTGCGTCGTTTTATAAAAATAAACAACCCTTAGCAACCTCTTCAATGTTTCCATAGCAACTGCATAGAAGCAAGATAATTTTTTCGTGAAAAATAAAATCTTAAAACGAGCGTTGCACTTGGTACATAAACAACTATATATTTTCAAGATTGGATTTCAACATTTTTTCTGGATGAATATTTTTGTCTGATATCGCATTGAAAATCGAAAGACTCTGAATTAATATCTCTAAATATTCCTGGACTATCTCTCACTCAATTCTCCGTAAGACAAAATAATGACCCAATATATATTTTTTTAATTAGCACGATCCGGAACAGTGTTCGCCTGGCGGAGAAGACGGAAACTTCATTATGTTTGCGAGAGCGACATCTGGCGACAAGAAAAACAACAACCATTTCTCCCCATGCAGCCTTAAAAGCATCAACCCTGTGTTGAATTTCAAAGCAAGATCGACAAAGGGTTGCTTCACAGGTAATTTCAGAGTTTTCATACATATCAATGCAAAATGTGCTATAGCTTTTTGATTTCACCTCATATTACTATCCAGTTCTACTGAGGATGAAAATTTAGTCGTCGAAATATGTATTTAGGCTTTTCTTAATATTCATATGGTACCTTCGATAAATTTTGTATTTGTATTTAATTTCACCTTGTAATGAAACTGCGCAGCAAATACATATTATAACCTACTAAGAAAACAAATTCAACAGTGGTGTCATATGGAATACCTGTTCTACATTTATGCCGACTCAATAAAATCATTTATTATCATTATTAAATGTAAATTTTGACATGTAACAAAGTCACGTGACCTCGACCGAGAAGTCCATTTTCCATATTCTTTGAGGCAAAACTCAACGCCCAAGTCGAATTTCGGAATAAATAATTATTAAAAGTGTTTCCATATGATGGCGACTTTATGAAATACACTGTATATACTTCCAATGAAAATGTTCAATGGAAATCTCGGCTAGCATTTTAGAAATACCAGTCAGAAGTACTCGACAAGCTCAGTCAGCACATTCTTTTGTCGTAAACTTCTGGTAATGTCGAACAACTCTCAACATGAACATCTCTAACATCCAAACTGATAATGGAAAAACTTTTTTACCTTGTTCTACGAACATAACAGGGATATCAAAATTCAACATAAAATTAATTTGTAGAGCCCAAAGGAGCGATTTGTGGAAACGGAGTGGTAGAAGAAGGAGAAGAATGCGACTGTGGCTGGGAAGAAGACTGCAGAGACCAATGTTGCTTCCCCATGAGAAGATACGCCAGTGTAGATGAACCTCCATGTCACCTAACACCTAGAAGCATTTGCAGTCCGTCGCAGGTAATGAATTTAAATAATCCTACCGACTGCGCCAATCCATTCAGTAACTTTTCTGCTATTAACAAAAGACGTGGTGTCGTTAAGGCATTTTTCTGATATTCACATTCAATTTGACACTTTTCAAAACTGACGGAAGTTCAGAAACGTCTTACTTTAACCCTGCAGTGGTGACCTGCGGTTTCTCAGACCGACCAGAAATGCTTTTTTGAAATTTGGGGCAATCTCGCTATGCCCCCTTTACTGCTTCCCTCTAGCTCAACCTTTTTTGGATTTCTTCGTGCACTGTAAACCAGAAAGCGCTAGCGTTACCAGAAAGCTAGTAGTAATTGGTTTCGGACTGTCAGACCGACGTGACCAGTAAAGTAACAAATCTGCTACATAGATATTTCTTGTTTTAATTCATTTTATGAGAAATTGAGCGTATTCAATCAAAGGTATATATTCTCATACAAATGAAATATTATTTCAAACAGAAATCATCCATATTAGGAGCAGAACAACGAATACTTCTACATTCCATGAAAACAATGACGGATGAAGTGGATCTTAAATGGAATGGGGAAGACCACTGATTTTTTAAAACGACATTATCGTGAACTCTATACTGAAAAACTACCAGTGAATCAATTCTGAATTTTTTCATTCATTCTAAGACGATGAAAAAAATGAATTTGTATATGTACATTTCAAAACACACAATTCCTGCGCCATTTGAAATTTCATCAATTCATTGGTGTGACTGGTGCGACGTCTTAGTCCCAACACGCCTATTGTCCTTGAACTGACCAATTACACTGCAACACTGCAGAATGACGAGGTATCAGAGAGAGATAGCTACAGTTCGGGACTAATACGTCACGACTCCACCATCATATTTGGCTGTTTGAAATATCGAATGAAATATGCTGATTTCATAACGATATAGATTCGATTCCCTTCAACTTCAACTCATAATATTGATTGTACATAAAATGTAAATCGTGATTCGTCGATTGAAAAAGGTTTGCACGGTTTTTTTCCCTCAGTGGTCTTCCCCATTGTATTTTTCAATAATATAATCTGTTTTCCAATGGGGAAGACCACTGAGGGAAGAAATCCGTGCAAACCTCTTTCAATCGACGAATCATGATTTACGTTTGATCTACAATCAATATTATGAGTTGAAGTTGAAGGGAATCAAATCTATATCGTTTTGAAATCTGCATATTTCAATCGATATTTCAAGAAGCCAAATATGATGGTGGAGCAGTGACGTATTAGTCCCGCACTGTAGCTATCTCTCTCTGATACCTCGTCATTCTGCAGTGTTGCAGTGTGATTGGTGAGTTCAAGGACAATAGGCGTGTTGGGACTAAGACGTCGCACCAGTCTCACCAATGAATTGACAAAATTTCAAATGGCGCAGGAATTATGTGTTTTGAAATGGACAAATTCTAATTTATTTTTTCATCGTCTTAGCATGATTGAAAAAATTCAAAATTAATTCACTGGTAGTTTTTCAGTATAGAATTCACGTTAATGTCGTTTAAAAAAATCAGTGGTCTCCCCCATTATGTTTCCTTCGAGCAGAACCATATAAACTGACTATAATTCAAATGTAAAAACTTCACAAACGATAATATTTCCACAAAATTCTGACTTTCATAGTTGTTTGATCCACTTCATTTTGCCTGCTATTACCCCGCACTGTGCTGCACTACTATGATTTGACGTTTTTAATTGAATAAATCTAGGAAAAACATTGTTTTTAATGCAGATATTGAAGAACCAGCTATTTTGATTTGTAATGGAGCAACGAAGAATGAATTTAAAGTACCAGGTGGCCAAAAAGCTAGTCGTAGCTTTCTTCAAATTTTGAATTGACTCGGCCGTTACTTGATGGAAATCCATGATAAATGTAAAAACTTCACAAACGATAAGATTTCCACAAAATTCAAAATTCAAATTTTGTGGAAAACTTATCGTTTGTGAAGTTTTTACATTTATCATGGATTTCCATCAAGTAACGTGCGAGTCAATTCAAAATTTGACTATAATTTGATTGAATAAGTTTTTTCATCACAAAAAGAAATTGAATGTCTCTCAGTCCGACGTCACCACTCATGTTTCGTAAAACCACGTCACCACTGGAGGGTGAAGATATCAAACGAGCTTATTTCGTGAATTTCGTCGGTGAATTGTGACCACTTTATTTGTTTGAGGGATCCTTCAAAGTGACAGGCGAAGTCAACGGCGTCGTGCAAAATATAACTCGTGCGAAATATGTCACTTTCCATACTAGTTATGTGACATATTATTTTTGCTCTTCTGCTGGAAAAAACTCACTATGAGATCGTTTCTTTTGTTTCATAGGGGCCCTGCTGTACATCCGATTGCCAAGTGAAATTCGGAGATAAATGCAGAGATGACAACGGATGTAGGGACGAAAGTTTTTGCAATGGAAGGGACCCTCAGTGCCCACCTTCTATCAACAAACCGAACAAAACCATTTGCAACAAGGAATTTGTTTGTTTTATGGGAGTGAGTATGCCATTAATTTTACGGTGGCCGTCCGAAAAGTACCCGCTATCCGGACGATTTTTGGCATAGTCCGGGAAGAAAGTGTTTCCTGGACTATGCCAGAAAGCATTACATCGTTATCATTGTTGCCTAAGTGATAGCTAAATAATAGTATAAAAATCTAGGTATACTGTTGATATTAACCATAGCAACGAGATAACGTAATAATAACATTTCCCTAGGAACGCACGATGTTTCTTGAACATAATAGGGATTTCCTTTCGTGCGCTCCAAGCGATAAAAAAAAATAAAAAAAATTGACATCATCCAAGTCGACAATAAGTGATAGCTTAATAATAGTATAAAACTGTAGGTATACTGTTGATATTAACCATAGCAACGATATAACGTAATAATAACATTTCCCTAGGAACGCACGATGTTTCTTGAACATTATAGGGATTTCCTTTCGTGTGCTCCAAGCGATAAAAAAAAATTGACATCATCATAGTCGACAATAAGTGATAACTTAATAATAGTATAAAAATTAAGGTATACTGTTGATATTAACCATAGCAACGATATAACGTAATAATAACATTTCCCTAGGAACGCACGATGTTTCTTGAACATTATAGGGATTTCCTTTCGTGTGCTCCAAGCGATAAAAAAAATAAAAAAATTTGACATCATCATAGTCGACAAAAAGTTTGCACAGATATTCCGTGCAAAAAATGCAGTGAAGGATAGAAAGAAGCATTAAAAGGGAGTTTGTGAACGTATATACAGTGTAACCGACATTAGATCACAGCACCTTTATAATATCTACAGTTTTCAAAGGATTCGTTTTTGATTCAGTTTCAGCAAAAAGAGTATCGAAGAGTCTACGTTTACACAACTTTGCAAAATACAGGGTGTCCCAAAATTGCTGGGACACAAAGCTACCACGTGACAATCGTCAACTTTTACATCATCCACCGAAATATATCTGATATTTTCTTTAGATTTTTTGATTATCAAATATAAGTGAATTGATTCCATTCTAAACCATTTGAGGATTGCTATTAGTAAAATATATATTGTAAAGTTATTTTTTATTTCTCTTATTGTTTTTTTTTTGCTTATCTATTGCAGAAATTGTATTTTTCATTGAAATAGTTGATATTGGGAATATTTTTTGTTTATAATGAAACTTATCACGTAATTTTATTATTTCACTAACATTACCATCAAACCATGGTTTTTTGAATAACATTTTTGTCTGATCGTTTTTAAAAATGAACAATCATTGAAAATATTTAATAAATCTTCATATATACCTCATTGGGATCATCATAGTTATTAACAGTACCATTGAATACTTTCAAGATTGTTTTCAATTTTTCTATATCATATACATCGTGTCTCACTTTAAACGGCCTCCCCTCTATATCTCAGTTATTAGTCATGCGATTCCAACCAAATTTGGTGTGGTATGAATAATCATCAATATGATCAGTTTTATAGAGATGCACATTTATTTTGGACAGTGCCGTGCGGTTATATTGAATTGAAACCGGGTCGATTTTTCATAAAATCATATTAGGCATTTTTTTACAGGAAATCTAACCTCATATTATTGTTCCTCATGCTTTCGAACCTCCATATGCAAAATATCACTTAATTCCGAATTAACAGGATTGGTTTCATTTTTTTCATTTTCAGTCTGGAATGCATAGTGACTTCAAATCTACGAATTTTGGAACGTTCAATGGCTCCGATAGGTGGAAAATCATGATTGGGAAGGAAAAACGAGTTATAGTTTTTCATGTAATACTCACCGTTTCCGAGTAAATAATTATTACGTTCGCAAAAATGCTGTTGACATGTGTCTGTTTTTCTGAAACACTTCATAGGCATCTTATAAAAAACCACATATGTGAGTTTGAAATCATGAAGAACAATATTATGAGGTCAGTTTTCCTGTGAAGAAATGCCTGATATGATGTGATAAAAAACTGACCCCTTTTCATTTCAATAAAAAAGCACTGAACTGTCTAAAATGATGTTCGTCTTTGAAGAATTGGGCATATTGATGATTATTCATACCGATACAAATTTGGTAATACCTGAGATATAGTGGGGGGGCCGTTTCAAATGAAACACGCTGTATATGAACTAACTTGGTCACATATTTTTTATTTTCCAAGATTTGTAGAGGTATGTACGTTGAATGAAATTTATGAATACTCAAAGAGTTGTCGATAACAATCAAGTCAAGATTTTTGTCTGTATTAGTGATGAAGTGATCGAGTAATGATGAATGTCTAGTTGGAATACTAGTTGGTTAAATAACTATTTCCGTCGACCTCGTATTAACGACTAAGTTTAATGTATAATGAACGATTTGTCTATTAATGCACGATTGTTTTATAGGCAACCAAACATACACCGCGTGCATTCATTGTTTATGCTATAACTTACGGAATCTGCATTTAAATCGAAAATATGGATTTCATTGAAGATTTTCTGTTAACGGGTTCACCTTTCCAAGTTTCTGACACGATTTTAATCCCTGTTTTCTAACACAAGGAATTTATTTTCTATGTTGATCATTTCGACAAATGTCAAAATAATGTCAGTAACAAGGCTACTGGCTGATTCTTAGCAGTTTCCGGATGAATGGTGAATTCGCGAACCAAGTTTTCTTCATTGCAGGAGAAATGAGAAATATAGTCGACGGAAAAATTTTGTGACCAACTTGTATATTAAAAGGCGATTAATGATCTCGAAAATTAACGCGCGTGCTTCGCTTGCACGTTAAAATATCTCGATCATTAATCGCCCTCATTAATACACTAGTTGGTTTAATTACTATTTAATTTGTAATTGATGAATAAAGACCATTATTATTATTATTATTATTATTAAAGAGGTCAGAATGACAGTGTGCGAATTCGATTTATTTTTTTCTAGGAATGTACCGGTTCTATCTGTTTAGCTTACGGTTTGGAATCTTGCCAATGCATACCCACAAAGACTGATCCAAAAACGAAAGCTTGCGAGCTTTGCTGCAAGCTCCCAGGCGACAACCAACCTTGTCTGTCGTCGTTCGCATGGAACGACATGCCCTACGATATTCCGGATATGTATTCGAAACCTGGAACGCCTTGCAACAATTATATAGGTTGGTAATCTTCGATAATAATCTACTGTAAACGTCCATGTTATCTCAAAGTGGAGTGAAGTAGTTAATAGTATATTATGTAACAATTGTTATAAACGTCCTTTTAGTAACGAGTATTTTAAGCACGAGAGGAGCAGAGCGGAGCGAGTGTTTAATAAACGAGTGTCTAGAAGAGTTTATGAACGCGTTACATACTATGATTTTTCTACTAACTCCGAAAATTCCATTAACATTCCTGCTATTCCTGCTAACCTACAAAATAATTCGATAGGAATGGGAATTGTGAACATAATACATGCAACTGCATGCAACCAGCGAGACATAAATGATATTGGTTGTAGATGTGTCCAGTCCATTGCTTACTAACCTTTGTTTCACGTTTATTGTCATGCTTAGCGCAGAATAAATGAATTGTTCTCAAAGATGGATGCTTCATTTTTACACTTCTTGGAGATATGCAAGTACCAGAACATTCTCTTCGTTTTCATTTTCGTCTACATTTCGCATATATTTTCAATGAAGAATTCTGATACAAACGAATATTGTTTGAATAATTCTGATACAAAATTTGAAAATAACTGTTGACAGTTAATACAATTGACAGACCAGACATGTCTGAAATTACTGAAGCTGTGTTTAATGAACTGTGTTGCCATGGTAATTTGTTTAAGAAATCGTGTTGCCATGGTAACGTGTTCAATATTTTGAATAAATCACAGATCGTCAATCCGTGATTAATCGATCATTTAGCGTGGTACATATCCGTACGCTAAATGCCATTTTAGTTATGTGAGTAGAAAAAATATAATAAAAACTCTCCAAGTCTCCCAAAAGGTATCCATCATCAGCCAGAAAGGAATTATTGAATAGTGAAACAGTAAGTAGGTAAGTATATCAAGTAAAACAAATTGGTACTCAGGTGGAGAAGAAAAAAGTAAAAACATGGTCATAATGAGCATGCAATGCAAACAAAACACAAGCATGCCTTTCTCTAGAAAAGCCGATCACAGTGTGCCCAACAAGCTTGTCAGGAGTAACCATACCTTTGAAGACATCCATTTCGATGCTTGGTATTACTATCAGCAACAACCTTTCTTGGGAAAATCACGTGAGATCAATTGCAAAAAGTGAATCCCAAAAACTTGGTTTTCTGTTTCGAGCCAGGACCTATATCACTTCCAGTCAGCTGCTTATGATCTATAAGGCACAGATCCGACCTGTCCTGGAATACTGTTCCCATATTTGGAGTGCAGCACCCAAAACATACCCTGAAACTGTTGGATTCTGTCCAAAAAAGGGCAATTCGTCTCGTGGGTGATGCCTCGCTCACAAACTCGCTCACTTCTCTGCAACATTGTAGTAAAGTTGTTGATCTGGCTTTATTTTAAAGATACTTTCATGGACGATGCTCTTCTGAAATATCAACAATTGTTCCTCCCTTGGCAGTCTCCGCGAGATTAACCCGTAGAGTTGAGGCTTCGCACCCCTTCATGGTCACTTTGGAGACTTGCAGAACATCTCTTTCCAAAGACTCGTTCATCCAACGAACAGCGAGGTTTTGGAACACATTGCCAAGGGAAGTGTTCCCCGAGGCATATAACCTCCAGAAATTTAAGAAGAACACCAATGCCTACCTCATTTTCCTTGGTTCTCAGGATGTTCTCTGAACATTACAGGATATCCCTTTTCGTGGGAACCACAACATAAAATGGCATCTGCTTGTGGGGCATCTCCACCAAGTCAAAAGATGTTTTCATTGCTCAAAAGGCAATTATGAGGTGCATTTTTAACATTCCTCGTAGAGAAACTTGCAAACAAATTTTTCAATCCAGTAATATTTTGACTCTCGCTAGTTTATACATATTTGAGATTGCATGTTATATTTATTGCAACATAACCTATTTCAAACTTAATAAAGACATTCATAACATGAATACTCGCCAGAATGGCCTAATTCATACACAAATTGGAAAATACAAAGTACCCCAAAATGCACATAACTTCATAGGACCACGTATTTTCAATCATTTATCTGAGAATATCAAATCAAGTTTAACACTTAAAGTTTTCAAAACGCGCCTCAAAACATTTTTGGTGCAACATTCTTTTTATACTGCGGAAGATTTCCTAGATTGTCCGGTACAGTGATATCTTATTTTATTTTGTACTGTATTTCGTTTCTGTATATCTATGTATTGTGTGTTTTATGTATTTTTCAAAAATTTTGACGTTTCCGACACAATGTATTATTGTCTAAAGGAATAAAGATTTGATTGATTGATTGATTGATTGAAAAAACAATATTAGTAGATTGTTTTATTAGGATCAAAAGTGACACTTTGTTTGACAAGCGAATTTTGCATTTGCGAGGCGGAGCGTTTAGCGAAGCCGAGCGAAAGCAAAATTTGCGAGTCGAACAAAGTCACTTTTGATCCGAATGAAACATGCTATTTTTTCTGCAACCGAAACAATCAACTCAAATAAACATGTGAAGTAACCACCAATGCCGCGCCATATGTATGAAATGCAACAAATATTGACAAATAATCCATGTGGTGAGAATATTCTACCTGCATTAACAGCAGGTTAGGTTTTCTAGGATGTTCGAATTGTAGTTTCAATCTAAATACAACCACAGAGTGACATATTTGTGTATGGACCAGGTGCTCTAATGGCAAATACCGCGCCAGTGCCAGCTATAGGAACAAGACGTGGAAAATGTTAGGTTAGTGAGTATATCAACAATGATAATAGTGATTATCACTTCCTCTCCATACTACACTGTGTTTGACTTGATAATCAAATGAAGCTAAACAATATCGTTGTTTGAGACAAAAAAACTATTGCTTGCCGTGATTATTCAAAAACAAGTTATCCATCCCGAGAATAACGAATGAAATACAGATCAAGCAAGTATTTGAATCTTGAAGGCTTCCCTGATCAAAACAAAAATACTCAACTGAGATGATTATAATTCCAATACTAAACTATAATAAGGTGTATTTATATCTCCAGCATGGGTATGAAATGCCAAATCTGCTGAAATCGGAAACAAATCAGGTATGCGTCTCAACCCAAATCACCAACCGTCACAATGTTGTTTATTCTTGATGACGTCCAGTAGGTCCTTTTTAGTTCCTAGGAGCTAAAGTTCAACTTTAGCTCCTAGGAACTAAAATTCAACTTTAGCTCCTAGGAACTAAATATGTTGCCTAGCAACCTACCTATTTTGGTGTCAGTAATAGAAACGTCAATTTAAGAGCTAATTTTGGTATCAAAATGGACGACTTTTGTGTCGGTTGCAGAAAAACATATTTTTATCTAAAGGAGAGTGCAAATTATAATCTTCAGAACATTTTGTTTTCAAATTCTCATCGTGTGTGTTTGATAGATGTAAATTGCGTATTTCAGGTTACTGTGATGTTTTCCAAATGTGCCGTGAAGTGGATCCATCAGGACCACTTGCTACTCTCAGAAAGCTTCTTTTATCCGATGAAAGTATAGCCAGTTTCAAGAAATGGATCATAGATTACTGGTATGCGGTGGCAGCTATAATTGTTATAGTTTTGTCATTACTGGTAAGTCAAGAGCAATTAACTAAAATGTTGTTTCTTAATTTTTCGTTTTTAAATCGATCGGAATTCTCGGAATCTTGTAATTGAAAATTGTTTGTAAACAATTTAAGATTGACAAAAAGAAGACTGTATATTACATTCTTTTGAATTAACTGCCGACTATATCCCGTATATATTAATTCTTTTGTTCTTCGTTCAGATGAAAATTGTTATTACAATTTGCGAATTGAAAAAAAAGTGAGTCATCTAGTAGGAGCTCGAGCTTTTTGCTAAATAGTGATTGATTTATGTAATTGATTAGATAATTTGTTGAATACAGCAAAAGGTTCACATTTCTAGTGCTAGAAAAAGCTAGTGTATAAGCGAATTTCACCACATTTCGTAGACTTTTGATATAATTCAGTTCACGCTTTTTGAAATACAAGTAATATGAGTAAGTTGAGTTTAACCATTCACTTTTCCGAAATATATACGATTTGGCCAAAAAATCATAAAATCGAAAAATAATGAAATAAGTTACAAGGACAATCAATTAAGCTACATATTTTTCTGACCGGTATTTTTGCCAGTGATTGTATTATAGATATTTTAGATCTTTCAAACACTAACTAACTACGACGCAAATACACAAAATTCTTTTTTTTTTTCAAATCTAGTCAATTCTTGGCAGATTTTTCTGGACTCAATCCGCCTCGAAGGACCATATGTATGTTTGTGGACTGTATTATTGTTGTTTATTTGCTATTTTCCTTGATATAAGTGCCTTTTTCAATTGTTAACGGAGTTTCGGGGTATTGTTTTATTTATCAACAACGAAGAAATGCAATGACAATTGAATAAAAAAAAGTCCAAAATCATTATTTAGAGGTTTTTGAACCGGAATGAACCGTATTACTTGCCGACGTCATAACCCAGGCAACCAGATGACGTTTCAGTGAGGCATTTTTACGTTTTTACTTTCTGGGTATATATAATTCCAATAAAACTTGATGTTGATTTGTTTTAATGAGTTATACTTCTATCGACGTTAGAAGCATATATATAAAATTACCAAGACGTACAAGTTGCTATATGTGTGTGTAAAATTGATGAAGAAACGATTTTTTCTGAAAACTTTTCGACACTGAAAATGCCCATCCTGTATACAGTGTGTCCCACTTACCATGCTCACCATGGGTATCTTTTTGACGGTGAGAGATACGAGGTCGGTTAAATGACACCAAATGTGGAGTTTGTCAAGGCCAACTTAATGTGAAAAAATATTTTGATAAAATCTATTCGTTTTTGTTTTATACACGAAAAACAGATTTTGCTCATTTTCATGTCTCCTCCATAACTTCTTTATTTATAAAAATATTCAAACAGGAATTTCACATTCTCATGGCATTTTTTCAAAGTGATTTCGAAAGAAATATGAAATTTATATCAACTCTACTAGAATTTGAGATATCAGCACCAACTTTGGTTTTTCAAATGTAGGTCATAGCTCACTATGACTTTGTTACAAATAACTTTTTTTTCTCTTTCAGATGATATGTCGCAGCAATAGTTTTATGTTGATAACAACGGAGTTATCGTCATTTATACAATAACAAAAAATTATCTGGAATCCGCCATCTTCAATTTATAAATTTCAACAAAAAAATCATGATCTCCGACCACAAAAACTCCCACTTACCAATTTTGAATAGAATCGGACCAAATCTTGTCCGCCATCTTGGAGCAGCCATTTTTTTCAATTGATGGCGGACAAGATTTGGTCCGATTCTATTCAAAATTGGTAAGTGGGGGTTTTTGAGGTCGGAGATCATGATTTTTTTGTTAAAATTTATAAATTCAAGATGGCGGCTTCCAAATAATTTTTTGTTTTTGTATAAATGACGAAAACTCCGTTGTTATCAACACAAAACTATTACTGCGACATATCATCTGTGAGAGAAAAAAAAGTTATTTGTAACTGAGTCATAGTGAGCTATGACCTACATTTAAAAAACTAAAGTTGGTGCTGAAATCTCAAATTCTAGAAGAGTTGGTATAAATTTCATATTTTTTTCGATATCACTTCGAAAAACTGCCATGAGAATGTGAAATTCCTATTTGAATATTTTCATAAATAAAGAAGTTATGGAGGAGACATAAAAATGATCAAAATCTGTTTTTTGCGTATAAAACAAAAACGAATAGATTTTATCAAAATATTTTTTCACATTATAGTTGGCCTTGACAAACTCCACATTTGGTGTCATTTAACCGACCTCGTATCTCTCACCGTTAGAAAGATACCCATGGTGAGCATGGTAAGTGGGGCACACTGTATATATATAGGTACGTCACAAAACTAACGGTTTCCCAATATAAGTATACATGGTTTAGATATGGTCTGGGAAACATGGACGTCGACAGGACGTTTCTGCAACGTCATGAAACTGACGTCTTATTTTACTCTTCTAAGTGACGTTCACTCGACGTCGAGATGATGACGTGATCACATCACCAATTAGGGACGTCACAGTAACGTGATCATTCGTCATATGGTTGCCTGGAAACCTACACAAGAAAATGCTTGATTTCAAATCGTTCTGATTCCCAGGTACTCAGCACCAAATACCTCGGCAAACGGCCCAAACTCAAACTCAAACCGCTAACCATCCTGCACAAACCCGCCCCTGAGGCGATCCGCCTACCCCCCGACTCGGAGGGGGTCACCGTCCACCCAGGGGTGCGTTCCAAACTGCCCCTCAAGCGGAAGGTGCGCGAAGGCAGGATAAAGCGCAGGCGCAAGAGCAAAGTCGACGCGGCCGACAACAATGTGGGCAGCCCCGGTAGGGCGAAGGGATCGCCGAAGAAGAAGAAGAAGAGGGTTTCGGCGGCGGTGGGGGCGGAGGAAGCTCGGACCAAGCCGGTGGATACGAATGTGTTCGACGTGCCAAACAAGAAGCTAACCTCACTTTCACAAGGTGAGAGAACTACAGTTCTCAACACACTAATTGGACCACTCATAATTTGACTCTATTTCGAAGACCTGTATTTTTTGAAAAAATACGAACATTTATATTATGGGATTTGGGTTTAACCGTTACCACCGATACAACAAGGCCTGCATGCTCCGTGGGTGACGTCACTTAGTCAGGCCTAACCAGCGGCTCGAAACGACAAGCGCTTATAGCGCTATAAGGCGACCGCGTATTTCGATTTTAGTTTTAGATCATCATTGAGCCGATTTTGCTGTTTTTTGAAGGGCTTTCGGTTAAAAAAGGATGCCAGTCGTCAACTGAGCCCTTTTTCGCACCCCATTCGATTTTATTATGGAAAAACGAAGTTTTAAAGCAAAAACCAGGATAAAACACAAATATCCACCTACAGCAACCCATTCGAATTACCTGAAAAAATAACCAGTGAGTGTTTTCAATTTTCTGTTGTTGGATTTTTCACCCAGGTGGATCGTTACACTTGAAACCGTAATTTTTGGGGTAAAACTGCAATTTATCATGCGATGGTTTTTTTTTGAAAATTTTTTTCGGTACTCACGCATTTTTGTCTGATAAACCGAATATTATAATGAAAATGTGAACAAACCACTATTTATTGAGATATTTCAAGAAAAAGTTCGAAATTTCGCCTTCTTCCTCCCCTTGTGTTGGGGGCATTTGAAGCTACTTGCTCTTATTTTGTCATTGGACACTTTATATACTTATGATGTACTTCGATGGCACATTTTTATATAGAAAATTCAACAGGAAATATGATTTTTATAGCGAGTTTTCTATATTTAGTGAACAAGCATTCCAGATGACGACCATTTAATCAATAGTCAATCAAAATACGAGATGTCAAATGTCAATAGATTGCTTTCGAATGACATTACACACGCCATTATTTTGAATGATATTCTTCCTTCTTTTCACTAAATATGGATTAATCTCAAGAAAATCATATTTATAGTTGAATTATATATAAATTGTCCAATATGATGAAAAAAGAAGGGAAATTTGTTCTAAATGCCATCCAGAAGACAGGTGAAAAAGAAGGTGAAATTTGGAACTTTTCAGTCAAATATCTTCATGATAAATATCATGATAAATGCAGTTTTACCTTTTTTGAGTAGAGTGTTTGTAGTTCATGTTAATATGATAGTTGCAATCTGATCATTGGAATGAATTTTGCATTCATTGCCACGAGGCATTTGCCTTTGACCGTTTTCAGAAAGAAATTTGAGAATGAGAATTAAAAATGCCCGTTTATTATGAACATTCAAGAAAATTTCCTCGAATTCAGAGATGATTTTGTTGACTATAATATACGAATACAAAACTAACTGCACAATCAAAGCTTTTCTATTTTTCCTCTACTTATACTTTTTATGAGAGAGTAATTGTCTTCTATTATTAATTCATCATTATAAATTAAGCTCTGTTTACTACTTAGATACTTAGATGGAGTAAAATCCTCGCGGTGAATTGCATATACTTACCCACATTTTCGATAGCTCCTCGTCCAACGGGAAACTAAAAGCATGAACTTTTGAACCACCCACATAATTCCCCCGACAAAAGGGAACACAACACTTGAAAGGCATTGTTATTTCGCCGATCACAACACAAAATTTTTCACAAAACAGTAATTTTTCCTCCAATTATTTTGATGAATAAACAACAAAAGAATTCGGGACCGTTTCAAAAACATACGTGAATCACCGAACACGACCTGACGCGTTAGTCGACAAGCGATAAAATAAAACACTGGCCTCACTTGGCGACGTCACGAGCTGTTTACGTCAGAGTCTGCTGGCCTTGTTGTATTGGTGGTAACGGTTTAACACGGTTCTAAAAAAAACTTCATAAATGCTATAGATTTCATGATTGACTTCGATGAATTCATTGTGGCTTATAGGTTTTAATAATTACTTTCACATAGCTAGAATAATACAATTAGGTTTCATTATTGCCTAAGTCAAATCCTAATTGGCCTAGCGTAAATTTGGTTTTATGATTGCTTTATGACGTATTTTCATAGGATTAGTTCGAAACCTCTTGGTCAAATTCGAGACACTTATGAAACTAAAGTGTTTTAAGAGGGTTGTTAAGAGTTAATAGTTTTGATAAAGAATTTCAATGACTCTCACAGAGCTCTCTTAAAACCGAAGTGAGCTGAATGCCAAATTGTTTTATGCGATAGTTCTATCATAGTATCTCAAAGCCTTCTAAATGGACATGAAGGCCAATATGCTTTTTCCAAGGCATTCATAAAACGGTAGAACAAATCAGACCTATCATTTGTGCTCACATAACCTCTTTAAAGTCTCATCGAAGCTATTAGGCATTTACAATGTTACTTGAGATTCCACTCCACTGTGAGTATGGACTACTACAGAAGTACCATTTCTATTTAGGCCCAGCCAAAAAGAAGCAGAAGAAAAAGAAGAAAGAGACCATAGACTACAGCAGCGTCCAAGCGGACCTAGACGCCGGCAAGAAAACTCTGGAGCTGGTCCACAACCCCAACACCCCGGACTCAGACCCAGTGGGCAAGGTCCAGAATTGGCTGCTCAAGTCCCAATATCCCCTCCCCAAATCGAAATCCACCCCCGCGGGGCTGACGGACAAGACCAGGCGGAGCCCCCACAAGAGGCCTACGATCCGACCTCGCACCGACAAGGGGAAGTCCCACAGCGTGGGAAACATTCCCAGCGAAAAGGACAAAGTTCGTTTACAGGTGGTCTACAAGCCACCCTTCAAGTTCAGCCTCAAGCTGCGCAAGCCGGATAAAACCAGCGTGGTGATCGAGAGGGTAGCTGAAGTGCCGAAAAAACCGAGGACAGGGATGCTAGTGCGCTCGGTGAAGGGTGAGATTAGTGCCGGGGTGGAAACTAAGGGAGGTGCGGCTGCGCCGAAGGTCGAGCCGATTCCAGACATTGATTCTAATATCCATACCGTCCAGTCCGACTTGGAAGTGCTCCTGTCGGAAAGCGAGTTTTTGTTTTCTGACGACTGACGTAGTATAGGCAGATCGTTCCGGGACCACTGACATAACTACTGTTTACATCGCTGTTAGTCATATGAAAGGTGGATATATGTATGGTGAAATAGCTCCCTCTTACAGAACCCTAGAAATTTTTGTAGACCTCTGGCCTACTTGATTATGTCGAATTCTATCACCGTAGTAAGGCCGCGCAAAACTAACGCTAGATGGCGCTGTTCCCGAAGTGACCTTGCTACACAATGGTTGTATTGTTTTGTTGTTTACATTTACGTATATTAATTCGTGATTTAAAAACATTGAGAAAAAGTGATTGATTTAATGAAAAAGAAGTGAAATTTTCATTATATCTGTGAAGTATATGTGGCACGATGTTCCCTACGCCATCTACAGTCAATCCGGTGCGGCCTTGCTACGGTGTTTCGCGGTCTACACGTTTTGGAAAGAAACAATTGACAAGTGGTTACACCAGTCTATTTTCATCATGGTCATATGACAGCAACCCGAAAATATCATCCATGTGGGTTGCGTGCATGGACTGTCAGATGACCGACCCTGGAGGTGAAACATCGAAACACAACCTCACTTTTCTTATTTGTTTACAAATGATTGGAATAGTTTTTCACAATTATTTTGGCATTGAAATCGTATTTTTCGGCTATTCATTAATTCGCGCATGCCATCACATTGTGCTGTTGTACAATGCACAAAAAACGCAGCGAATGACGAAGGAATCTGGTTGGTAGATCATGATTTGGAGGTAAGTACCTACTATAGTCACTTACAAATAGTTTTCATTTTGAAATTTGGTGATTGCTCTGATTTCTCATCGGAATTCTTTTTGCAATAGGAGCTGTTAGAAATACTTGTCTGCGCTTTCTTAAAGAATGCAAGAAGATTGGATTCATGCAGTATGGGAGGACTGGTCTGACATGCTGACAAAATATGATCCTGTGTGTTGTATACATTTTCAATATATTTCTATTGCAGAAGTGGCAGAAGGAATTTTAATAAGGAATAACAGAATTTCATAATGAAAACTATGTGAGATTACTATTTACCTGAAAAATCATATTCCTTCGTCTCTCGCTACATTTTCAATATTCTACCTGCGTGCGAAATCTGTCATCAAAACACAACCTCACTCTTCTTATTTGTTTACAAAGGATTGGAATAGTTTATCACAATCATTTTGGCAGGCATCATAGGAATCGTGTTTTTTTTTTTTCTATTAATTCAAGCATGCCATCACATTGTGCTGTTATACAATGCACAAAAAATGCAGCGAGAGACGAAGGAATCCGATTTTTCAGGTAGGAACATTGTGATTCAAAAGTACTATTCACTCTCCTCATTGGAATTCCAAAATATTGTGATAAACTATTCAAATCCTTTGATTACTTTGTAAGCTAATAAGAAAATTGAGGTTGTTTTTGAATGTCTTACAGAAAAGTGAGGTTGTGTTTCAATGCTCTTCACCTCCAGGGTCATTCATTCATTCAAACTGTCATTCATATGAGGTGCGTTCGACTATTTACTCTCAGTGTGAGGCAACTAAATTAAGATGAAATATACGTATTTCCAACATATTTATCAACGAATCATTGGATAATCACGTTGAATTTATGTTATTAAAATGTATTCATATAACGTTATCATCATAACTAGATCGACAACGTTGGTAAATTGACGAGAAACGCATGTTTTACCCATTGAATGTTGAATAAACGTTGAATCAACGTAACCTGTCCCCATGAGTTAATCACTATTTCATGTAGTAAGTATTCGAATGGAGTTTTGAGATAGTTTATTGACATCTGAAATTGTCATGAACATTTGGGGTTTATGTTTGTCAAATTGCAAGTTTAGTCAGTTCTATTCATGAAATGATTCATAAAGAGATAGATTTTATATTTCAGTTGCAAATAAATGATGTTGAATGTCAACTATGAATATTGAAACTTTATATTGGGTTCTGTTATACTGATGAAGCATAATTGAATGGACCTCAAATCTTAACCTTTGTCGATCTTAAGAAAACGTCAGTGTCACTTTCTGAAGATTTTATGACTTTTCTACATTAAAAATATAAATTGAAAAAAGTACTTATATCAATTTTGAATTCTTCAAGGACATAAAAACAATCATAAATTGACTCGTGGACCTAACCTATACTTGAAACGAACAAAAAAACACTTCTTCGCCCTTATTCGCCCTGTAATGACTAAATGTAAAATCAATGGGGTAAGATATACACATCTATTTTGTTGAGATACAAATACGGATAAATTGACATAAAAAAGTCCAGTATTTTTGAACGAGTAGAATATACAAAATCTAACAAATTTCGAACGCAAATTAGTAAACTCTACTTCACAGAGTACGCATTCGAACACACCCCATGACATGACGTCATGTTTATTGTTTTTCGAAAACAGGAGTTGTTAAGATGAATGACAGGTCCTGAAAGCGCATGAATCATGGTCTCCAGGTCGATTTCCTGAGTGGCAGAGCTTATTTCTTATGGCACTAGCGGTCTAGATAGTAGTTTATGTCAGAGTTCGGGACCGCGTTCATTTTCACATTATCAGCTGAACGGGAACGTCTAGTCAGCCATGATACCTCCTTGGTGCTTTCCTTCTTTTGAAGCTCATGGACAGATAAAAGTAGGGATGCCGATCCTGAAATAGATCTTACAGAGACCGATCTTTTTCGCCCAAGAAAATCGATTTCATTGGAACTTGCGATTCAACTAATCGATTATTTTTTACGTAGATCGAACGAAAATTTCGACTATCATGTACACAGCCAACATTCACAGATCTTTTATAATTTATGATCGAGAAGTTGAATATGGTACATACATAGTGACCAATTTGATAGCGGACCACCATCTTAGTTTTATTTTATAGAACGATTTTCACGAATTTTTTTTCTGAAATGTAAAGGGGGGGGAGTGTATTTTGGAGCCAATCAGCGTCCATTTTAAAAAAACCAAGGCCTACTAGATACACTGCATTCGGCGTCTTCTGAAATAGATCTTCACCAAGTTTCATGAAGAAATATTCATCATTAACTTATTTCAAACGGATTAGCTTAGTCATGCGGTATTTACCAAATTCTGACCGGTATAAAAATGAAACGGAGTAATTTTCTTATGAAATCCTATAAGACATGTTTTTACAAGAAAATTGACCTCATAATATTGTTCTTTTTCGTTTTAAAAACATCTGAACAGCATTTTTGCAAACATCCTGTTGGACAGCGTCGTGCTTTTTTATTGAAATAAAATAGGGGTCGAATTTTATGAAATCATATTACAGCGTAGATTCGTTGATGTTGAATATTTTTTTGCATGAAACTTGGTTCAGATCTATTTCAGAGGACACCAATTCCAGTAGTGTACGCGTTTTTTCAAATCGCTAATATGGATTCTGGATTTTTTAGACTCTGAAATTGATCTAGTAGGCCTTGGTTTTTTTGAAAAAATGGACGTTGCTTACCTCCAACACACTTCCCCCTTCAACAATTTTTGAAAAAATCGTGAAAATGAATAAAAAAATGTTGAGGGTGTGGCCCGCTTTCAAATAGGTTTCTCTGTATATTGAAGAAAAATTGTGTCAATATGTTGATCAACAGAATTTAGATCTCGAACTTTTTATATCTTTGTGACAGAAAATATAATAATTTTTTTCTGTGACGGGAAAAAAGTTTGGCATTTCATCTCTGTTGGCAGGTTATAAAATGTCACTTTTCATAAAGTACTTTTTTCCCGTGGGAAAAAAGTGAGTACTTCTTTCCCGGATGTATATCTAATATATATACACTGTTGATGGTCTTTGTTGTTCTATAGTTCCGAAAAATGAGTCAATAATACCGTCTCCGAGAAAGAAGTACAAGTCCTTTTATCTTCTATTCGACTACGCGGTTACGTATATTACTAAACAACCACTAAATTCGCAATTTTTTGAAATCAAATCACAGAATTAGACAGACAGAAGTGACATCAGGTATTTGATGACTTCAAAAGAATGATGAAGATGCCTACAACGCATCAGGTGTCCTTACTGTTAAACACTTAAAATTTTACGTCGACAATTCTCTGATTATAAAATAATGTAATATTTTCTCAATATTGATTCGTCCTTTCTTCTGTCACAGAAAAAAATAGTGTATTATACACGGGAAAAATATTAGATTTTATCAGCTCACGGTTTTTTGTCTCCCTCCGCTACGCGTCGGGAGACAACACAACCTGGAGCTAAAATCTACTACTTTTTTCCCTTGCATAATAAATAACTATTGCTCCTTATGTTCCTTTGCTATATATTGAGAATTTTCTTTCATATTTCATCATTTTTCTTAAAATTTTATACCCTTTCGTTGTATTCATGATATTGCTCAACTTATTTCGTAATTATAGGTACCTAATCTGAAAGAAAGCTTTTTTTCATGAATTGGGCGCGGTTTGTGAATCGATTTTCAAGAATCGTATATAAGTAGATCTTAATTATACCGATTTCTTAGGGATCCGATACGAATCAATTCATATATGGAAAATTTGGCATCCCTAGATGAAAGCAGTTTGTTAAATCGTCCTGACTCACATAAAAAACATTTACCCATGACTATAGACTAGACTTTCCACCATTCAACTGATAATAATCATTGGCTGTGGAAAAACATTCCGCATTTCTTCATAACAATTCCTTTGATGAATTCAATGGTAATATTAGTTGTTTTTTCTTCTTAATATTTTTGGATGTGGGATATAAGTTCGGGTATAAATGGTTAACTTTATATTGTACGCTTTGTTGATATTTTTCTAATGGACTAACATGTCGGTTTCTGATGTTTCTCTAAAATTATGTTAGAGGTTTCCGTTGTTCATTTTCCGAAATCAGATAGGAATTTGAATGATCACTCTTCTCCGTCTTCGAAATTATTGTTTTATAAACAATTTTCAAATTATCCTTTGGTTTCGAAGATACCTACTACATATTCTAGCTGATGGGACATACATGATGTATCTTTTCAAACTGTTCATTTCTCAGAAATTGCATTTTAAACATTTCATTTCTTTAGAGCCAAAAGGATGAATAGAATAATTCTTCTTATATCTTCTCAAATCTCCTGGATCTAGTATTTTCATTATTTTCATCAATAATGATATTGAGTGCCAAAGAGAACTATATGGATTTAAAGCTTTTATGTGTTATTTAGATATTGGAGTATCTTTATATGAATAAACTCCCAATTTTTCTACAAATATCACTCCTTTTGTACCCAAAAGGCTTCCTGAGTTCGACCAACGTACACCTTTTCACTAAAAAGATTGAATATAGATCCAAAAGACAAAAAAATAATGAATGAGTTTCTGTTACAGAAATTCTTGTTTTTCAACCCAAGTTAATGTTCCATAAGTAATAAAATATGTGAACTATGAACATTCCATGGGGAAGAATCACCATATAAAACACTCATCACAAATCAACAGTATTTTTTGTAGTAATGATAAACTGAAACTGTGAAGGAAACTGAATTTTACCTAATAAATTGTAAGTTTTTTAAAACGTTCATCATTTGAAAAAAAGGCCCCCACAATATAGTATATATCTTGAACTTTCACAAAACTGAGAAAAGTTCCCCTATTGGTATTATTAAAATTCGATAGAAAGAACAGTTTTCCAGACAAGAGAAACTGCTTCAGCTGAAAATTTTGCTGACGCTACTTCAAGAACTAACCTAGTTGAACACTCATGAAGATAAACAACTGCAAATACTATTCAAAACACTTGAAATCCCGCCTGGAATCATTCTTCGACATTGACAGGTAAGTTGATGGTTGCGATCAACATACAATGACATATCAAGATTTCCCAATACCTGTTTTGAAATAATGTTGACTATATTGTCACGAGTAGAACATACGGTATATTAGAAATTTCGAACCATGAGAGTTTTATAAACATAAAGTTAATCAAATCAAAAGCATTACCCCTTATAAATCGATATGGATGGACTAACCATCTATTATATCGTCCCTGCTCGGGCGCCATGTCACGATATAATGGATGGTTAATCCATCCATATCGATTTATAAGAGGTAATGCTTGGCTTAATAGTTTGCGAAAGGTATTCGAATAGGCACTAATAGTTTGGGGGTAACTGAAAGTATGAGACTATATTCAAACATAACAATGTTTATTGAAGCATGGAACATTATGGACAGTGATGACAAATATGAATGAACAACAATGAATATGGAGACCGAATAACAACTACATTATAATGACCTTTACGACGAGCTCTTGTCAATATTTATATACATCATTTTATTAGATTTGCACGTTTCTCATGAGAGTTCCTTGGTCAGTTTTCATAGTTCAATGTCAACGGATGATTTGATTAACATTATGTTTATAAAACCCTCATGGTTCGAAATTTCTAATATACCGTATATTCTACTCGTGACAATATCATTTATTCATAAATTACACATAAATTACAAACAAACAAACATCATTTGGATAAGAAATTGTAACATCCTCTAAGACATAACCTTTAAACTGCAAAAACTATGCGAAACCCTTGAAATCCCGCATAGAATCATACTTTGACGTTGACATAGCATCAGAATATTCCTTCATCCGGTTCTCCAGAGCCTACTTCATAATTCGCGAAAAACATGTTATGAAGATTTCTTGGTTGTCGTCAACATACATATTGAAATTGAAACTTCAAAGTATCGAAACATCTTTGCTCCTGTCAGACCTAACGACCCAACCTAGTAAAACATTAATGAATATAGAAAATTGCAAACACTATTCAAAACACTTGAAATCCCGCCGGGAAAAAATACAGCACTAACTCAAACCCATCAGGAATGTGAGGAGGTCACACATAGACTCGGATTACCCATACGGCCAACCTAGACTAATCAGTGCTTAGTCCTACATCGAAAAGAATTTTGACTTCGGGTAGAGTTAATGGAGATTTCTTGGTTTGCAATCCACATAAGTCGTTTTTAGATTTCTCAATTATCATTTATTCATAAATGACACATGAAATACAAACAAACATGATTTGGATAAGAAATTGAAGCATCAAACTATTGAAACATATTTGTTCCTGTCAAACTTAAAGGCCTAACCTATTGAAATACTAATGGAGATAGAAAACTGAAAACACCATTTGAAACACATGAATACCATATACGTATTAATAATTAACAATATGGATAACAACGGCTGCCAGGTTGAAGCTGAAGATATGGACAAACAAATGATTATCCAAGAGGATTTGGTGACTTTCACCAGCTTCTGAATCAAAGGAGTGTTTTATCGTTTCATAAGGTCATGTCATTCTGTTATTTTGTTTACGTTTCGCGGACATGTTTAGGAGCAGAGATTTGATGGATATTATCAATTTCCAGAGTAATTTTCCATTTATATTACAATAACCCTGTCTGAAATACTTGAATTACACTTGATCATTACATATTCAACATGAAATAGTCATCCTAGCCCATTTGTAAATGTGGTTATATTGCAGTAGTCGTAATACAAGGAATGTTCACATCAATTCTTGATATTTTTTTTATGCCCCATAAGTAGAAGGTATATTAATTGATTATTTGATAAGTGTACCTGCTAAGTGTAACCTGCCGATACCATCTGATGATAACCAAGCTGCAGCATTTTCAACGAACTCGTCCTGTCAAAGCAATGATATAAACAAATATTTCATAGGATACTGAAAGATGAGACTGGAATAGGAGGTATTTTAGATATTTGTGCATAAATATCAATGAATGTCATGTTAGGTTAGATGTCACGATGATGTGTCTGTCATTTGAACTTGCGCATTTGGATCATCATTTGTCCTTAAAACACGGCTTTCTACTGCGCTATGGAAACAGAGATTATTCATATTGTTCCTTAATACGTATATGATGAAACCCCGCCTACAATCATTCATTGACGTTGACAGCATCAAGACACGCCCCCTGGTTTTGATCGGACTCTCCAGAACCTACGTCATGATCCGCGAAAAACATATCCGGAGAAAATTTCAACCCCGGATTAGAAGACACTTCTCCCCTGTCATCACCAGAAACACCAGCCGGAAAAAAATTCGGCACCACCTCAAACCCATCAGGAATGTGAGAAGATCCCACACCAAAAAGAGGTTTGACGTCAGGCAAGCTGATGGAGACCTCCCGGTTGTTCAAATCCACCATATCAGCCGGATCATCCCCATGACTGCTGCCAGTCAAAGTTCTAGAAGACATGTCGATGGATCCTTCGCTCAAATAACTGAAAGTGCTCGAAGGACCAGGAACGTTTTCCCCAGTCAGCAAGCTCCTAGCCTTCTGATTCTTTTCCAAGTGTTCTTTGGCCAGCAGCTTCAATTCTTGTATTTCACCCATTCGTCCATCTTCATCTATCACCTGGTACTGGAGCCCGTCCTTCTGCAGATTCTGCAGAACCTCGTCAGTGACAGTAACGAAGTTACCATCGCTGGTTTTGAACATTATTTCCACGTTGGCATTGGTATCGTTGCCCAATATGGTCTTGATCTTGTCAGCTGTTAAGCCCTGCAAGCCGTTTTGCAGCGTCAGCTGGATGACATTGGATTTGGCACCCTCTGAGCTCAAGTTAACCACTGGGTTAGACAGATTGTTAAAATCCATTTCCACGAAGTTTTGGTTCTCTGCATGAGGAATGAAATTCTCCACAGTGGTTTCAGTGCAAGTTTCTTCTATTATGAAAGTGTTGGCTTGGGGAGCAGATGCGATTTCCTTTTTGAGGTTAGCTATGGCTAGGATGCTGGCTTGGGCTTCTTTGACGCAAGCTTGGTGTTCAGCTTCGAAGCGATATTTGCGTTTGGGTTTGACAGGTTTGTACAGGCTGTTCAAGGTGTAGTTTGGTGGCTTCGGGGTGGAGTTTAGAGTGGCGTTCGGTGTGAAGGGATAGACTGGGTACTTGGGTTTCTTGGAAAGGAACTGGGGTTTTGGTAGCACGAGCAGCTCACCTATAAATCGATGAGGAATTGGTTCAGGATTCACCGAGAACACTCATTTGAGACCAGGTAGCTGAGGTATAATCGAGGGTATAATCTGTTTTTTGTTGTAAATATATCGAATTCAACACTCTGGGACAGTTTTTCAATTAATAATCTTATCTAGTTCACTCAGCAACGAATACATAGTTTCTGCTTCGATTCTATGCGATTTCAGTATACGAACGCGAGAAAAGCTGATTACCTTGAGAGACATAGAAATACCGCAAGATAGGTAATTGCTATTGAATGAAGACCTATATTGGAATTGTCAATACACTGACATCATCAACTCTAGAATTGGATTATTTGATCATATAATTTCTCATCAATGGTGATGAATGAGAAACAAAAGTTTTTGGAACACACTATATGAAGGGTTGACTGATTTTTATGCTGTTGCCATATTAGGTTCACAAAATGGTTTGTATGGGTTTTGATTGATTGGAATTTTTGAGGAAGGATTTTGTATTGCATTTTTTATATGTCCTTGAAGAAACATTCTGATATAGGTATATCATTCGAGGTCGGAATCAAAAATTTGGTGGGTATACAGTATATACCAAAATGTCTTTCAATGACAGAATATATTTAATTCGTCACTTCTGGTTCGACCGGAAACAACCCCTACTTTAAATTTTTCGATAGGACGACACCCTATATATTTCGAGATTTTGATTAGATAATGGTAAAACGATCCCCAGAATTCAAATACGAAAAAATTTAAAAATCGAAAGTTGGGGCTGCTTGGAACCAAAAATGACAAAACAAAAATTGAATTGTTAATGAATAGGATATTTGGTATATTGCTACCCACCAAATTTCAGCATGATTCAATCCCCAATAATTCGGAATATACATCACTGGCCGTTTTTTGTGCACTTCTCTGTATGTGTGAAGAATTGAAAAAGAAAATTGTATCCGCACTTTTTTTAATCTCTTCTGAGATAAGGAAATAGTATTATGAAGTAATTTTTACCTATCATGGAGAAATAGGAAATGATTCATATTGAAAATTAAATTACCTACATATTTGATGAATACATTCATATCAGCTACATTTGAAATATACAGGATGTCGTGAAAATTGTAAATTCAGAGCCACCTAGCTTCCAAATTGAACAACTTTGTACTGAGTTATTATATGCTTGTATCAAATTGTTTTGGTCTAAAGAAGATGTGGTAAGTTTTTGCAAAGAATTTTTAGGGACACCCTGTATAAATTGTTAAATAAGCCATTATGAGTTATAAACATGACATTTATATATGGAGAATAGGACATATATATAGGATCATTCTGAAAATTTTGAGACTATCAAGTAGTTGCTCTACATCTATTGATCTTAAATATTTTCAGCAAGGCACCGTTGCCGTTCATACCAGAAAGTAGTAGCAATTCTGATATTTCAAATGGAACACCCTGTGTATTTCATTGAATTTTTAGATGCTCCCTGAAGAGCTAATTCCGTTGCTCTTCATCTATTGATCTTTAATATTTTCAGCAATGCACCGTTGCCGGTTATACCAGAAAGTAGTAGCAATTTCGATAATTTGAATGGAACACCCTGTATTTCATTGAATTTTCAGATGCTTCCTGGAGAGCTCATTCTCTCAAAACATCATACTTGGGTCTAGGAGAAAGATTACAGAGATATAGAGGGTGTTCCAAATCAAAATTTCTCAATTTTAGTGTGAAAACTATTATTCATTATAGGTCCAATGTCCCTATGTTTTGATTTACTATATCTATACAGGGTGTCCGGAAATTATGCGCAAAAAATCAAGGGGGTGATTCTGCATGAGAAAATATAATTTATTTCATATATACTTGAGTCCGGAAATGCATAGTTTTCAAGATACAGTGTGTTAAACTTTTTAGAAAAAATCGTTTTTTCATGAATATATCGAATATTCTTTCACCAATTCTCTTGAAATTCGGTTAAGATATTCTTTGTCATGAGGGGCTGATTTCGCCATTTTTAAATTAGAATTGTGAAATCCAGTGGCGTCCCGGGGGCACCCTACCGAATATTTTTGTCAATAAAATGTGCGCCCCTGATTTTTTCAAATTCTCTATCTCTATATCCTAATGATTAACAAAAAATACAACATTTTAGTCTCTTGAATTATTTTGCAATTTTGCTGCGTTTCCGTGGAAAAAAATAAATACCAATTCATTGTATAAATTTGTGCAAACATTGCTTCACAAACAGGGGTGAAATTAAATGTGTTAATCATGTCCATAGACGTAGAATAAGAATTGAGATTCATTTTCTTCAAATATTGTTTGACACACTTTGTATTATCGAAAACTACGCCTTCCTGGACCGAGAATACATAGTTCTCAATATACAGAGTGTAGAGTGTGTCAAACATGTATCAAGGAATATTTGAAGAAAATGAATCTTCATACTTATTCGCTATCTATGGACATTGATGCCGCATTTATTTTTACCTCAGTTTTTTAGGGAATTTTTTGGCACAAATTTATGCAATAAATTGGTAATTATTTTTTTCCATGGAAATGAAGCAAATTATCAAAATAATTCAGGAGTCCAAAATGTTGTATTTTTAGTTGGTCAATAGGTTATGAAGATACAGAATTCAAAAAAATCAGTGGCGCACATTTTATTGACAATAATATTCGGTAGGTTGCCCCCCGGGACGCCACTGGATTTTATAATTCCAATTGAATTATGACTATATCAGCCCCTCATGACAAAGAATATCATTGCCAAATTCCAAGAAAATTGGTAGAAGGACATTTGAGATATTCATAAAAAACCGATCTTGTTTAAAAGTTCTAACACACTGTATGTTGAAAACTATGCATTTCCGGACCCACGTACATATGAAAAGAATTTCTTATTCCATCATGTAGAATCACCCTCTTGATTTTTTGCGCATAATTTCCGGACACCCTGTATATACTAACATTCAATTGGAATTTGGAACAAATAAAGAATATAGTTATTGGAGTTTCAGAATTTCTGATAAATAAAAGAGTAAATATCATGCCCAGTCATGCAATTCACATAAATCCAATATATTGAATAGAACCAGAGCACTGGATCTTGATGCAAGCATGCATCAAAAAATAAAAGGCAAATCATTTGAACTCACCAGAAGTAAACTGGCAGTCCATTGACAGATTCTCCAAACTTTTCATCTGAAACAGTTTTGCAGCTGCCACCAGATACCTCACCAGATCATCAGGTATCACAGTTTCACCACAATACATGAACTCTATCAGACACCTGATGACAGTGAATTCACAGCCAGATATTATCACTTGTTCAATGCCTGGATTCCTCTCAAGTTCTTCCTGGATTTCAAGAAGATGTCAGAGTGATTATACAGGGAATAATAAGAGTATGACTTACTCTGAATAAAGGGCTACTTGCTGCTAGAACGATTTTATGGGCATGGAGAATGTTATTGCCACAACAAACGGCAATGTCAACTAAACTCTGATGTTCCATTAAGGAACAAAGTCCCAGTGATGTTTGGAAAGGATGTTGTTCTGATTGTATGCAATACCTTGCTTTGGAATGGGATATCTTGTTCATAATGTTAACAGTATGCTAAAATATCTTGGATTGATGGAATGTGAAACAATCTGAATCAACTGTAAAGAGCTTCATTGAATTTCATGTGCAAGAGAATGTATACTGATAGTATACTCACCTAGAAAATCTAGTTGGATGTAGGTCTCAAATTGTAATGATTAAAATATTTGATATTGTTGTTTTCAAACACAATGTATTTCTCAAGGTATTTCTATATAACAGAACAAGAACAGACGTTCTGAAAATTTGAACATTTGAATACAGTGCCTCTAGACCAAACGACAGTCGACATATGACTTTTGCCAGTTCTACCAACTGCCATTCCCTATTGGAGTGGATTGGTCCAAGTTGCCAACCTTGTTTATTCACAAATCTTTTTGTGGGAATATTTATCATTATAATATTACTAAAGAATAGTAGGATTAGTAGGTTAGTCACCATTACATAAATTCAATGCTCTGATACTTATTCAAGTCCTTTCGATGATGTATTGATGGAAATCAAGGAATTGCATCATTGCATGACCTCACAAAATGAGTGAAACAAAGACTGTCCAGTGGCGTAGTACCACTGTAATTATAATGAGAAGGATCGATCGAAATTAAACTCAACTGATTTAAAAACTTCAGTTCTGTGTATTGATACAAATATACAATAATCAAAATTATCACAATGGCAAGTCTGGTCTCTTTAAATTCGTAAACTGTAGTGACTAACTGCATTTCAACCTTCTGAGAGACTTTTGTAAAACACTGCATGTTGGTGTTGTGAAGGAGATGAATGCATCTTCTTCTGCTCTTCTCCTCTTCTTGGAAATATACTTTATGCTTATTCGGTATTGACAGTCGAATTGGAGATCAGATATATCGAAATGCGAACCCTAAAATAAATGAAAACTCTATGATAACGCTGGAGACTAAAGTTTTCGAACCATTCCCAAACCTCAAGATTGGTCACAGTGAATCACGTGATACAATATGGACGCATGCGCATTCGCTCGTAGAGTTATTAATGAGACCCACGGAGTCTCGAGAGGAAGGAAAAACATCCTGGAGAGCCTAATAACAGGAATAATCACCACACAAATGATCACAGTGGGCTGACGCCATATTAACAGTCGACCAGAATAAAACTCGCTGACCAAACTCAGCCTCCACAATTTTATTGCCAAAATTAATCATAAAAAACACGGATCTCACTGTGATCTCAACATATCACGTGATGGGAATGGTTCGAAAGATTTAGGCATTTCTATATTATTGGGAATTGGGAAGATATCATGACAGTACATGCATGGATCCACCTCGAGGAATTTATCTCTTTTTGAGGAACTTTGGAGGTCCACGAGGGACAAAGGGACATTTAGAAAATTTCGAGAAATTTTCACCTGCCTGTGTAGGGATAGAACCATAGATAATTATACAAGTAGAGGTGCAGGAGAATCATAAAGAAACCTTATATAACGGAAAATGCAAAGTAGTGGCCCCAAGGAAAAAAAATTAAAATAAAAATATAAAAAGAATTCACGGAAGTTTGGAAACTTTCTCAATCTTGGCCACTCACCTTGATGGTTACCGACTGTTTGAATGCCTTCAACCTATTTTTACGTGGTTGGCCTGGGGAACTCCACCATTTGATGCGATATTTATTGGAATATTTTCCAGGATGCTTCCATACCACACGAGCTTGGAGATTTCCTTTCTGCCAAGCCAATCTGAGGAGCTGTACTTCCCCCAGGTTATCATTGTTAGCATCCAAGACGAGAGCGTTGTCATCCTCTATGAAAAAAATCATACAGGGTTGGACAGATAGTCGTGTGTCAGAGTATATGCTTATATCATATATTATATATACAGGGTGATTCAAAAGTAAGCGGCATCCTTTCAGAGGCGTATTCCTTGCATGAAAATAAGGCAAAAAGTTCCTATTGATAAGGATCCGAAAATGCTTCCTAAGGGAGCTACGGCCCTTTGAATAGGACACCTCAAAGACGGTTTTTTCTCTATAACTTTAAAATCCTTCACAACAAATTTTTAAAAATTGGTGTACGGCATAAACATTCGATGGTAAATAGGACTCCGTATTCGAAATAATTTCCAAACGAAATCACAGTAACCTGAATATCCGGAGAAGAAGGGATATTTTTACACTTACCCTCTCCCGCATGTGACGCCCCTGAATGAAATTCTGAAATTTCGAATACGGAGTCCTATTTACCATCGAATGTTTATGCCGTACACCAATTTTTAAAAATTTGTTGTGAAGGATTTTAAAGTTATAGAGAAAAAACCGTCTTTGAGGTGTCCTATTCAAAGGGCCGTAGCTCCCTTAGGAAGCATTTTCGGATCCTTATCAATAGGAACTTTTTGCCTTATTTTCAAGCAAGGAATACGCCTCTGAAAGGATGCCGCTTACTTTTGAATCACCCTGTATACTTAGGTAATCCCGAAACTTTTTTATTATTGAAGGTCGTAGTGACACTAAATTTGGGGGTTGTGAGTTATACCGTTGATTGATATATTACGCTTACGGTTATACCTAATCAATCGACATTTTTTGACGCATCTATATATACTCTCCTCCATTACTTCTGGTTTGACCGGAAATGTTATCAACTTTCGATTTTTAATTGCATTCTTAATTTCCATATATGCTGAATGAGTGAGACAGAGAAAAAAGTTTCGATATTGTGCCGTCACAACCATTTTGAACAACATTATGGAAACTTCGAATGCAAATATCTTATTAGTAATCGTTCGAAACCATATCCTATCAAATCGTTGAATTCGTTAAGTATATGATTATCTATAACCGATTATGCAATAAAATACACGGTGTCACATTCGAAACTCGAAAGTTGAGGTAATTTTCGGTGAAACCGGAAGTACGGCAAAGCAAGTAGATATTCTAAAGAATACAGGGTAGGTCACGATCGATATGAGCTTACACTATCTCTATATCGAGAATTAGTCAGGAGAAATCCATGAAAATGTGCATAGTTATTTAGAATACGCTCTCTTCATTTAAAATATTTTCAGCAATGCAGTGTTGCCACTTCTATGAAAAAGTAGCAACAACTTTGTTATTTTAACTATAGAATACCCTGTATTTTATTACAATTCCAGATTTTCCTTGAAGAGCTGATTTCATCGATACATCACACTTGGGGTCTATCAGAAATTATTACAGAGATATAGGGTGTTCAAAGTCGAGACTTTTCAACTTTAGGATTTGTTTGTGTCGAAACCGAGGTCGAAACTATTTATTATCGGCCAAAACGGCTCAAATGTCCCTATATCTCAACTTCTGATTTCTTGATTTACTATTTACTGATATTTAATCGGAACAGATACGAGGTGATGAGAATTCTGAATCTTATTGACCCACCCTGTATATCTGTTCCGATTGAGTATCAGAAAATAGTGAATCAAAAGTTAAGACATGTGAATTGTTTTGGCCAAAAATTGATAGTTTCGACACAAAAAAATTCCTAAATTTGAAAAATCTCGATTTTGAACACCCTATATATCTGTAATCTTCTTTGATAGACCCCAAGTATGATACATCGATTGAATCAGCTCTTCAGGGAGATTCTTAAAATCCGATGAAATACAGGGTGTTCCATTCAAAATATCAATGTTGCTACTACTTTCTAGTAGAAGCAGCAACATTGCATTATCGAAAATATTTCAAATGAAGAGAGCGTATTCTGAAATATGAGCATGCACATTTTCATGGATTTCTCCCGGCTGATTCTCGATATAAAGATAGTCTAAGCTCGTCATGACCTACCCTGTATATAATTCATAACCCACAAATTTCGTTTAACTACATTGAATAATGAAGAAGTTCAAGGGGTGAGCCACCTCAATTGGAATATCACCCGGTATAACAAGAAATTATTACCGTATATACAGGGTGTGCCAAAAGAATCCAAAGGACCGAAGGCAATTTTGTTGAGCAGATTGCCACATTTTTTTATTGATTTTTGTTCAATCAATTTTGATGAAGATGACCCTGTATTTTTTGATTTGATTGACAGTGTCAGATATTTTTATGATATTTCATGTTTGAACTGTAAATTAGTGGAAAATAAAAATGAAAAACACAGTTCATTATAATTTGTCTGAATCCATCCGAGGCTTTCAATTTGTTGGATTCTTACATTGAAGCACTTTTTTTTCGAAATAAAATGTCTGCATAATAGAAACATATCTGACGTCATATAGTCATTAATATTTGGAAGAAACGGTATATTGCATTCATTTGATAGACAGATATTGTTTTATAGTTCTGTTTCAATCTCAACCCTCAGAATTGTACAGTATGTTTCATTCTTCATACAGTGATTGCATGGTATACCTATATATACCTCTAATAAATATTGTTTCTAAATGTAAAGATCTCTTGTTTCTATTTGCATTAACATTTTCAGTAAAGACGAGAAGGGTAAATTTAAGGTACTTTCAATATATCTCTTCTTACCATTTATGTAACTCGTAGTATTCAGGACTAGACCGGATTTTTCTCCTTTCAGTCTACCTACTCCGAACTGAACTAATGCTTGTACTTGCAAAAAATACAGACTGTTTGGTTGCAAGTTCTGAAGTTGAAGATAAGTCTGGGTCTGAAACAAGATCCAATATAGTAGAATGTACGAAACAGCCTATATATAACACACGTACATACAATGGATGTCCACAGTGGACATAACGAATATCCATCGGACGTCCAATTAATAGGGGAAAGCGGAGGAATGGTGTCCCCTAAGCATTTTATGGCGATCGATCACAAAAACGAAGGAACAAATTCAAAAGTTTCCTTAGAAAGTATTTTATAAATATTTTCGGACCTATATTAATAAAAGCTTTTTGCCTTATTTTTATTCAAGGATCAAGCCCCCTAAAGGAAGCCGCCTACTTTTGAATCACCCTGTTTAGACATTTGTCATAATCGACGACTGTGGAGCAAATGAAATGAAATAGTGAAAACCGTTTTACTTGGATTCAGTTCATATCTTCTCAACTAGTTGGAATATTTATTTTTAGATGGAAAAAACAATACTTTTGGCTCAAAAGGATATCCTGTAATGTTCAGAGAACATCGTGAGAACCAAGAGAAATGAGGTGGGAATTGGTGTTCTTCTTAAATTTTCGGAGAAAACCTCCCTTGGCAAAGCAAGGCAAACTATTGGGTGGCTGTTATTACCCCCACCATTCCACCGACTCCCCTCCCAGCGAGCACAAACATCCCTGGGATGTTTTGGGATGTTTTGAAAATGTTGGCATGAAGATGTTATTTTGAGACGTAATATGCACTGACCGAAGAGGTCTTTGAAGGATATTGAAGTATTGTTTTTGTTTTTCTGTGGCATTTCTTTGTTTGCCTACTGAGAGGTATCCCTGGTATGTTTTGGGATGCTTTAGAAATGTAGGCATGAGGATGTTTTTTTGAGGCGTAATATGCACTTCAAGAGGTCTTAGAATGATATTGAAAGTATTGTTTTTGTTCTTTTGTGCCCTTTCTTTGTTTGCCCCACCACAACGTCTCATGCTTACGTCACAATACGATGAATTCTGATTTGTTTTCGATTTTGTTCTTCTTGTTCGCAATCGACATTCGCGTTTGCAGCGTGTCACTCTTACATCACGCTGCTAACGAACAGAAAGGAATTTGGTGAAGTTTATTGTGTTAGAAGACTTATTTAGTTTGTAATAATGACCATCAGATGCAAGATGTGTTGGTCGGTGCCTCAGTGTAATCAATATATAAAAGTACGAATTTATAAATACACAGCTTCTCCGCAGTTGCGAAATTATGCATTGTGGAGAACATTTCAAAAATTGGGAAACCTATTTCCACCAATTATATGTCTGTGTGTAGTAAGCACTACTCAGAAACCTATTAAGATCATTTCATATCAAGAAAATATTTTTATGTTCAATCTATTTTTAATGCATTTTTTCATTCAAGGTAAATGGAATCCTAATGAAAAAGTTCATTTTGACAAAAGGCTTCAGAAAAGTACCTCGAAAATGGTTTTTTCTCAGCGATTTTATGTGCGCAAGACGCGTTGAAAATGTTTTGTTGTGTCCATGAAAAGGCTTTAAAGAGAACTAGGGAGAAGGTAGTTTTGTGACATATCAAGGACATCTCGATAATTGCCGCCTGCGGCGGACATTGGCTGTTCTATAATAGTTCTATTCATGTGTGAACAGAACATCGCAGTGGAGGTTCAATGTCTCGAAATCTCGTACTTTTAACATCTCTGAGATGTTTCTGTGCTCGCTGGGCTCCTTATATCCATTTTTGTCACAAAATTGGACATTCAATGGATTCATAGGATATTATGTGTCTACTGGGAGATTATTGTTCAGCATCTTTCAGAAGGTTCGTCTCTCGTCACGAAAATAAATTCACCCTGTAAACCTAAACCCAAGGCCGTATTCCATGAAATCCGAATGAAATCAAGCCCCGAGTGAGGAAATGACACTAATGTCGTCCATAACATTGAATTACGATGTGGGACAAAACTGATACCATAGAGATCTTGATACCCATGTTGAGCTTTGAGGTATGATTTATGATATACCCTACGTGACCGTAAAACCATACAACGATTCCTAAACGTGCTTTCCACTGTATATTCGATATCTTCGAGTGACACATCGATTTGTGATAATTAAAAATACCTGCAGGGTTTAATTTAATTGATGGCTAAAAATATAGGATATGGGTCTTAGCTCATTTTGAGAAGAACTATTCAAATTAATACCGGGAAGATTTTCTGTTGTTCAAATATGGGAATTATGAAAGTTATTCACTTCATATCGTGTAAATGTATGGCTTCGCCTGAAATCAAAATGAATTTTGTGAATTTTCCTTTGTTATATGAAATGCTAATTCAGAAGCCACAGACAAAATTCAACTATCGCAGGAGGTGTTCTTGTATTTATTCTTTACTGTCAGCCATTTCGACTTGTCCTGCTATGGACCTTTAGTACTCATATTTTTAGATAGTCAAACTATAAATTTGTTTCTCTTTTCCAGCAATTTCGAGTGGTATCCCCAAATGAGCTTCTTTTTTCCTTCAAACAACCTGTGTCAAGACAGCTTAGCACCAAATTAACGAACATCCGCGAAGTTAGATGATTTCTCAACTGAAATCTTTCCATGTACATGGTGATTTAGCATAGATGTCCCCCTCTCTAGCTCACTTATTTTTGAACCGATTTCAAAATTTGAATTAGGAAAAATTGACTAGTACCCTGTAGATCGTTTGTTCCCAGCACCCTGTATTCTCGGATGAAGCGGAACCTCTTGTTCTTGAGAATACTATAATTTTGAAATCTTTTCAAAAATGACGGAGATAGAGGAGGGAGGCAATTATGGTAAATCACCCTGTACAAACGGAACGTTGCTGCTGCTGCACTTCAACCAAAAGCATGTCAATAAGTTCATTATTATTCTCCGTTATTAATGTTATTATGCAACTTTCATTAAGGCGATATTTGGTGGAATTGTCTATTTCAATAAATTAATTTTACATTCCTAAAAAAATTCCCTACCTTGAGAACAACCTGTATGTCTATTTTCACAGTAAAAACATGAGGATACTCCGTTTGGAGACATTCTCAGTGTCTTGGATACCAGATAATGTATTTTCGAGTTCTCCTTTGTGATCAGCTCAAGAGGTTTGAAACATTAGTAAAGTCCATTATCTATTGAATAGAGTGACAACGTAACTTTATAGCTGATATATCAAAGCCTTCTTTATTGTAATTTCATATAAAAAGGAAAACTTGGCTGGCTGGGCTTCAATCATCAATTTGCCATGCATTGCCAACTGAGTAAGGTAAGTTTTCTTTTCTATAATCTCCTTGGTAATATGTTATTCATTATGTTCAAAATAATGAGAGATAATGTCAATTCCCAATTTCAGATAATTTTGACTTTTCATGCTCTCTTTTTGAATATTCAACAGATATAATTCAATGTTCGACGTGGCAAATAGCCAGGAAAGTAGTTGTTTTCTGTTGAATATTCAGAATGATTTTATGTGCATATCTTTATATGAAGGAGAATGCAAATACTTCAGAACAATTTGTTTTCAAATTCTTATCGTCTGTGTTCAATAGATGGAATTCAATGTTCGTCGTGGCATACAGCCAGGAAAGTAGTTGTTTTCTGTTGAATATATCTTTGTGTTCATAAATATATCTGAGAATATTCCTTTTCAATGTTCAAAATAGTTAGAATTATGGCTGAGGTCACAATAAGTATACCCCCCTTATATTTTGTTGGATGTTTTCGAATGCTATTCTAAAAAAGTTGAATTCTAGATCTCTGAAATAAACCATATAATATATTTCAAGACATTTATAAACTTTGTTAGAATTGAAACATTGCACGTCTTGAATGATAGTTTTAGATTTCATATTCCATTTCATTTTTCCTTGTTGTAGGAATTAGGTATATTAACTAAATAATATTTCCCTACTTGAATGAAACATACGAAATTTATTTTGTAGGGATCAATCGTCTTTTCAATGCTTATTATTCTGGAGTTGAAGGATGCTTTCGCTGTTGAATGGACAGCAGATGATAAATTAGAGAGCCAGTTTCTGGAAGATATGGATTTTGTATCAGAACACTCCAAGTACATTGAAAAAGATTCTGGTTCAAGTAAAGTTCTACCAAAGTTTGCTAGGAAACGTTACGACATGTCAGTAAGTACCAGCAGATTCTCGATATTTCTCATGATTGTGTCAAATATTACAATGTGTGCAATATTTTTTAGGCTCCGATGTACAGATCATCAAATAGTAAACCATCATGTTCTTGTCATATCAATTACCAAGCAGTCGATTTGGGAAGAGGATATCTCCCAAGGTATATAAAATCCGCAGAATGTACACCCTGTATAACTATAGTATCCAACTTCTCTTTCAGGTATATTCAGATTGGTGCATGTAAAAATGATTCTTGTGAAAAACATTACCAGTGTGTAGAGAAGACCTACAAAGTTAAAGTTCTGAAACGAAAAGGTGTTAAAACCACAGAAGATGCTTCCCTGATGTCTGTACAAAATAATTTTCAAGATTTTTGGACTATTGAGATAATTCCTGTAGTTGTGAGTTGTGAATGTATTGCCGAGTTTCATATGGTCTATCAGGAGTAGCACAACATTGAAAAACTGCTCGATTTCATATGACTTATGCAAAAAAACTATACTTGATTTCATATAATGAATATTAAAAAAATTGAGGCACACTAAATCGACTAAATCTCATTTCAATAACCTGACAATGTGAATTAGTAGTACTATGTATAGTGTAACAAAAAATGCCATGGATGTGTGTTAACAATCACCAAGTCAGGCATGAATTAGTAGTAGCAACAGTAAATTATCATGAGTGATAACTGTAGGCTACTCACATGTTATATATCCTAAGTCGTTTATTAGCATAGTGATGTCATTGCAGATGTCTTAACCATGACGATATAATAAACATTGTGATTTGAGATTACCTAAAAGGTGCATCTTTGGTATTATTCATTATTCCTGATAATTATCTACACTCCTATGAATTGGTGGAGCCGACATGTCTGAACCCAGCAATAATGATTCTGCATCATCAGAAGCTTCCATCGATCAATTTCAAGCTACCAGATTTTAGAGCCAAAGATCCGATCATAGGGTTCACACAGATTGAGGCAATATTTTCTACAAGGAAAGTAACTTCAGATGAATCGAAATATAATATTTTATTATCTTCGTTGTCGCCTGAAGGCCTGAAGCATTAGGAGATGAAAAACCTTCACAGTTACTTCGACGTATTGGGCGAAAAGGCGAATACAATAATTGTCAAGTCTATTCTGAAACATATCCAGAGACTTCCCAGCAGTGCCAAGACCATTCTAGCTTGGTGAAGAAGTTTCGCTAGAAGGAATTGTCGGAGCTCCAAGAATTGGTTAATTCGTTACGACTAACGCATCATTCATTATTCCGGAAGCAGTCTAGTAGTAGGAGCAGGTCTTCTTCGGCTAATAAGAAGTACTTTTTCTACCTTTAGCGTTATGGATATCGAGCACATAGGTGTATTTGGTCATCCTAAAACTCCAGTGCCAACAATCAGATGATGAGGCTGAATATGTTGGCACTACTGAGGATCATCGCCTCTTTTTCACGCAGGATAGATTATCTGGTGATAGGTTTTCAATTAATACTGGAAATCAAGTTAGTGCTCTTCCTGCTCAATTCCTCATCAATAAAACACCTTCAAGCAGCTAATAATAATAAAATCCATGCATACGGTTTTCGTATTCTTAATATAAATCCCAAGAAGAAAAAGGTTACTTGGGATGACAATGTTCATTATTTCATTTGACTAATAATAATTGTTATTGCTTTTATGTCAATTATTTTCTTATTTGAAGGAAAGCTATGTACCTAAGTCGTTTATCATAGTGATGTAATTGCAGATGTCTCAACCATGACATTGTAATTTGAGATTAATTATTTACAATCCTATGACCAATTACCTTAGGAACTATTTGTTGATAGATGAGTACAGAGTCTAACGCCATACTATCGTATATCCTTCTACTCCAGAACACTCTGTACTTGAGGATTGGTAAATCAGATACAGGGGGAGTCCATCTTATAGTTGTACTCAAACTACCATTCGCCTTCACCAGTGGTTCTACAGTTACATTGTCGGGTGCTTTTGGTGGTTTGGGATCTAAAATCAGAAGCATCATCAAGATACATAATAGGAATCTTGGAAGATTTGCTTACTAGTGAAAACCCTGAAGGGCAGAGAAGAATTCGAGTATCCCCTTGTGCCATTTCGGTTTACTGCAGCTACCCTAAACTGGTACCACCTGCCAGGTTTGACGAAATGCCTCAAGGCTTTTCTGGGCTTCATCAGCTTGAAGCAAAACCTCCAATCGCTCATATTCTTCTCGCTGAAGAACTTTCCAGTGTGATGACGCTCCTCCAGCAAATACAGGGTGTCCTGGGGAGGTTGATTTGTCGACCAGTCTATGATGACCATCTTTTTCTTTCGTTTTTCTATTACTCTGGGTGCCTTTGGAATGTCTGGTAGACCTTTGCAAAAAAAATAACTAGATACGTTTTTTGTTCTGGTGGAGATGACGTCACATAAGGTTTATGGAGGAACCATACAGGGATCAGGAGTATGATACTTTATGTACAGAGCTAATTAAATGTATTGAACCATCCATATATCTCAGTAACCAGTCGTTAGTTTTTCCTTATTTTCAATAGAACACCCTATATATTGGTATATCATTCGATAGATACATTTTCAACAAGTTCACTGATATACTATTTTATAGTTTTCTTCACGATCTTCATGAAGATATCTGAAAAAAACTTGCGAATTATTCCTGATTGAACAAGGAGGCTGATGAGAAATGTGTTAATTATTAGACAATTCTGATTCAATGTCAATAATTTTCTCATTCCTACGATTCGTGCAAACTCAAGGTATAACAAGGTTCTTGTCATTTACTTTCTCATCACCTTGTTGTGTACCTCCAACCAATCTAATATTTCCAATAATATGAACGATTTTTTGCTAACCCCGCAATTTACTGTCTCTGTCCTACAATTTGCATGCAAATTCATAGATATTTTGCATTCGCATTTTTGTGAAGTTGGATGCTTCTCAGAAAAACGGAGAGGTCAACAGCTAGGTAGATGTAAGAACTATATAATTAAATTAATAATAGTGAGCTATTATTTTTTCAGGTTCAGGTCTAAACCACGTTCACGAGTTTTCCTGCCTGGGTAGGTTTTCTGTAAAAAACGGGATGATCATACTTCCTACTTCTAGGCATCAGTACCTATACAGGGTGGGCCACGTGTAACGCCTCGGTCTCTAGAAGGCTAACCACTTATCTTCTTGGAATTCTTCCTCTCTAGGAAGTTGCATGTCAACATAGGCTACCATTTAAAATTATTTCGAAACATACAGGGTGTCCCCAAAAACCATAAAACACTGAAGTTAAACTTTTTTCTATCGAACACCCTATATATTATTTCATTTCGAAATTCTCCCTGATGAGCTGATTTCAACGACCCATCATACTTGGGGTCTAGCAGTTATAATTACTGAGATATAGGGTGTGAGAAATCGAGATTTTCCAAGTTCCAGAATTTTTTGTGTCTAAACTATTCATAATTGGTCAAAACGGCTCACATGTCCCTATCTCAACTTTTGATTAACTATCTACTGATATTTAATTGGGACATATACCGGGTGATCGAGATTCTGAATTCTGCACCACCCTGTATTTGTTTCAATTAAATGTCAGTAGATAGTTGATCAAAAGTCGAGATAGGGACATGTGAGCCGATTTGACCAATTATGAATAGTTTCGACACAAAAAATTCTTGAACTTGGATAATTTCGATTTCTCACACCCTATATCTCAGTAATTATAACTGCTAGACCCCAAGTATGATGGATTGTTGAAATCAGCTCACCAGGGAGAATCTCAAAATGAAGTAATACATAGGGTGTTCGATTGAAAAAAGTTCAACTTCAGTGTTTTGTGATTTTTGGGGACATCCTGTATGTTTCAAAATAATTTCAAATGGTAGCCTATGTTCTATGTTCTAGAGACCGAGGCGTTACTGGTGGCCCACCCTGTATAGTTATACAAAAGGTGAAGACAAAATGATTCATAATAATGCTTTTGGGTGTATGATAAATTGACATTCATCATACAGGGCGTGGAAAGAAATTCTGAATTCTGCGATTAGAGGTCTAGAAAAATCACAAGTTTCCATCGTTCAAGTTTGAACCCCCCCTGATTGGGTATGAAAGTGTTGAAAAGGAATATTCTCAGATAAATTATGGACATACAAAAATGGATATATATTTATATGAAGCAATACATTGAGAATTGGCATTCTCTATTTCAGTTTATTCAATAGAAAACAACTACTTTCCTGGCGATATGCCACGACGAACATTGAATTATATCTATTGAACACACACGATAAGAGTTTGAAAATAAAATATAAAAACTTTGAATGTTCATCAAATATAATTCAATGTTCGACGTGGCAAATAGCCAGGAAAGTAGTTGTTTTCTGTTGAATATTCAGAATGATGTGTGCATATACATATTTTTGTCTGAAGGAGAATGCAAATTCTCAATTTCAGAAGTTTTTATATTTTATTTTCAAACTCTTATCGTGTGTTGCGATGTGGGAGTCGTGAGAAAAATTTTGTTTATAGTTCTTCCGCCAATTATAAAAATATAACCATTTAGAAAATGAATGCATTGCCCATATCGGAACCGTTTCTTTGAATGAAGACATAAACACAAACAGTTACCAATACATCGTCAAGAAATCATACTGAATAAACTCATTTTTAATAAACGATTTCACATTCAAGTGACGCGCTAAACAGTCGAATAACGGCTTTTGAAATGATAACGTTGCATGAAACGTTTACAAAACGTTCTGTCGATGCCGTAAACATACTCGTCTTCATCCACTGATAAAAAGGATTCCTTGGATTGAAGAAATTTGACTTTACCTCAAGGGCGCCAAGCATTTGAATAGGGCGGAATGCATGGACATTTCGACCCAATATTCCAAAAACTTTTAGGCAAGCGCCTAAGTTTCTTTAGCATGAAATTATATAAATTCGAGGCAAGAAACTTTGGTTTCGCCCTAATAACTAATGCTTTTGGCTTAAAATCGTAGTTTTCCCAACTTATGGGGAATGTTGAGGTAATTGCCATGATTTCTTTAGCCCAATGATATATGAGTTTATTGCAAAATACCCTAAACTTATCATAATAAACAATGATTTTTGGTCAAAATCATCAAGATATCATTTCAAAGTTATGAGATTTAAGATGAAAGATATGGTATTATTGTATTGAAATATAGGGCTTCGCTGTAAATATAGCAAATGTTTGATCCAACATCTTATGGTCTTCGAACAAAATGTATATGATCTTGATGCAAATTCTCTGGAGATTTCTTGAGAGGATACTCCTGTAAAATGTTGAAATAATAATTAGAATTTCAATTGATTTCTTTAAAAATTTTGAGGATCATGTTATTATGAATCCTTACCTAACAAAACCCCATTATTGGTTTGTTGATTTTAGATTTAGTTCTGATGTTCTGACGGAAAAACATTTTGCATTGGTTGAAATATACTTGAAAATATCCCATCAACTTGTTTTAGCTTCTTATTTATCCTTGGGCGAAGAATTGTGGAAACCTTGAAAAAACAACCATTGATAAAAAACTCATTTATTTTATAAAATAACACATGAAACATTTTATATGATGATGAAATACCTATCTACTGAAATAAGTATAAATGGGTACTTACCTTGAAATGTTTGCATCATATGGCTCAAACGCCATCACGCATCTAGAAGTTTTTCAAACTCCACTGAATCGCTCATGATCCACAACACAACGCAACACGACAGATATGGCCGCTAAAATGCATTGGCAACGGGACGGTACTCGGCACGATGCAGAAGAACAGGGATGATAGGAAGATGGGGGGTCGACCCATGCATTGCGCATGACTCAAACGGAGTCGGTATGTTTTCGGTTAACCTCGGGTGGACTCGATCTCATCAACGGTCTCAACCGAACGATTCCAGATCTTGTATTAAAGTCTTGTGATCTTGTGGTAGATGCAAACCAAGCAGGACTACAGACAAGGTCGATGATGTTCTCTCAAAAGCGTTTACAGCCAAAAGATTCAAAACCTTATTACAAAAACAGCAATAATCTGCAGATGAGAGCAATGCATTTGAAAGGAAGAAATTGTCTTTGTCAGGAGAGAAAAGAATCTAAAAGCATCATTCTTTTGTCACCAATCGGGAATTTTTATCAGTGTCGGCTTCTCACTGTGAGCTTTTGTAATAATCTGTATCAGAACAACTCCATAAATTTCGAGATATGCTCGGTGCACCACAAATAACAAGGTTATAAAACGTAGGAATTATTATGTTCGGAATATTGGTTCAATGTTCGATTTAACCATCCAAATGCATACTTTATTACTTTTATTTATCTGCATCTGTGTGCTCATACAATGTAGCAGTGAAATATGGATCCAAAACAGTTTCGATATTGATAGATACGAAATGATAATAAGCAAGAACACAAATGATTCGTCAGTGTCACTGTTCCACTTTGGAAAATCTAGAAGAACTTACGACCAAGGTAGGTCAACGCTGTCATTGACGATCTTGCTGAGATTACTGCTTGGGGAACCAACAACCTATAGTTGAATTCAACGCCATAAAAACTCAAGAGAAGTGCACAAAAAACGGCCAGGATTGAAACTTTTGCTCTAGAAAGGCGGAACTCAGTATGCCTGATATAACAATGTCTGGCACCACCATTCCCACCAAGACCACTATCTATATCTATGCTCGGTATTTCCATCAGCAATACTCTTTCATGGGAAAATCATATTCGATCCATCGCGACAGATGCTTCACAAAAACTCGGATTTTTATTCCGACAACTGTTTACTTCACACGTTTACAGCTTTTCATGATCTGCAAAGGACATATACGGCCAGTTTCAGAATACTGTTCTCACATATAGGGTTCAGCACCCAAACATACGCTGATCCTCTCAGATTCCATCCAGAGAGGACCCATTCGTCTGGTGGGTGATGCTACACTCACTTATACTATGACCTTATTAAAACATGGAATTCTTCTCCAATGGAAGTATTTCCAAGAACTTATATCCTCTTGAATTTAAAAAAATCCAACGCCCACCTCCTCTATCCTCTCTAGGTGCAACGATGTTCTTCGAACATCATAGAAATTTCCTCTCGTACGCTCTAAGAGATAAATAAAATATATTCCAAAACAATTCTCTGCACTTTTTCGAGAAATTGGTGTTTTTGCCAATTGCTAGATTTCTCTGTCATTTGAGATAATTTCAAAAAATATCCCACGATTATGGCCTAATTGACAGCTTTACCTGGTATATAGTTCATAATTATAAGATTCTTCTCGCAATTAGGAAATCATTGATTTTTGTATAAATTGTGCAATTAAAAAAAAGCAAAT